TGAGGCACTATGTGAGTGCCAACCAGCAAGATTGAGCCAAACTCTTTGGGGTGGCACAGTTTTCTTACAACTTGTAGCGGAATGAGGCTACCAATCACAGTCCATTTGAGGTTGTCAATCACAGTCCATTTGAGATTGTTACCGGACGACAACCTATGACATCCAATGCCATTGCTTCAACTTGCGATGGTAAAAGTCCGGCGGCCTACAAATTTGCCAAGAGGTGGCATGAGCAGTCCAACTTAGCTAAGGTGTACTTTGACAAGGCAGCAAAGAAGATGAAGAAGTGGGCCAACACCAAGCGAAGGGGGGTGGAGTATATAGTGGGAGACCAGGTGATGGTTAAGCTACTACCCCAACAGTTTAAGTCCTTCCGGAGCATGCATAAGGGACTAGAAAGGAGGTACGAGGGCCCGTTCCCCATTGTCAAGCAAGTGGGCAAGGTCTCTTACATGGTGGAGCTTCCACCCAAGTTGAAGATACATCCAGTCTTCCATGTCAGCATGCTCAAGCCTTATCATGAAGACACAGAAGACCTTACTCGGGGCATATCGCAGAGGGCACCCACGGCCGTTGTCACATCCTTTGACAAGGAAGTTGATTGCATCCTTGCGGATCGTGTGATGAACAGGAGAGGTATGCCTAAGTATACAGAGTATTTAGTGAAATGGAAGAACTTGCCAGATAGCGAGGCGAGAACATGAGGATACACTTTGGCAGTTCGCGGAGCATATCCAGCGGTTCAAGCAAGAAGACACGACAAGGGCGTCGCGAGCTTAGGTGGGAGAGAATGTCACGCCCCGCAACCAAGAGGCTACGCCACGCAGACGCCCAGCAGACGATGACACGAAGTTTGCATGGACCGGAGCTTTCTAGACTTTTCTACAAAAGTATGGAACTTTTCGGAATTCTCTAGATTAGTGTAGAGTTGTTTAGCCTTTTCTAGACTTGTCTAGAGTTGTATAGAATTCCTTAAAATTCTCTAGACTTGTCTTGTACATTGTAGATAGTTCTAGAATTGTGTAGATATATCTTCGGAGGATTCTAGACACTTATTCTAGGCCACACATTTGTACACATCTAGATTGTTCTTGTAAGGCCAAAGGCCTATAAATAGGAGGTGGGAGTTCATTTGCTCCTCATTAAGCAACCTAAGTTGTAATCTCCTCTCAAGTAATACAAGTGTTCATACATTCCCAAACTCTCTTGCTCACTTGCCTAATCTCTTCTTACACACCCAGGTAAGCAAAGCACTTGTCTAACCTTAGTCTTCACTGAGCTAGCACACTCGGGTAGGCTGACTTAGCGTTTCAATGGGGGTTTGAAAGTGTCTAAGGCCGCACGTGAGCTTGGAAAAGTCCAAGACCGTGACACTAAGCCCACAAAACCCAAATAGAAATCCTAAACCCATGGTCCAAGACGTTAAGGTTGTGTTTTGGGGGAGCTTCTTACCCCTAGAAGTCCTTCATTACGAAGGCCACTGAAGAAGAACTGTGAATGAAAGGAATTTACTTAAAGAAAGATGTTTGGTAAATTCATTTTTAAAAGTCCTTTTCAATTAAAAATTAATTTACCCACATAATTCAATATTTTTATTGTGACAATGTTACCCTCAGAGTCAAAGCACAAAGACAATTATTTATATAGTATGTGTGTGTGTGTGTGTGTGTGTATATATATATATATATGTAAATATCTATTCTTCATTAGCAGGTTCATCACTTAGATTTGAATACCTTCATCACCATTCATCGACCGGTTCAACTCCTATCTCTCTACACAAAATAAATAAATAGATAAATGTCTAACATTAAATGTGAAACATCGATCACAGAGTCTTTTCCAGGTTAACGGAATCCATGGCGGACCTAAATTGGTTGGATTGCAGCGAAGCACAGAGGTGGTGTGCGAGAGATGCGGTCTTCTCCGCTATCTCATCCGCCATCAATTTCGACACTGCCGGCAAGTAGAACTTGGGATCTAAGAGAGAGATGGCAAAGGAGGAGAAGGGCTATGGACTCTTGCAATAGCACATTGCAACAAGAAAGAGAAAAGACAGTTTGTAATAAAATAAAAAATAAAGGGTAGTATAGGCCAAATAACCATATATGGGGATAAAATAGTAAACCTATTATATTTCATTAACCCATATTGCACACTTTTCGAGAAATCGATTTAAAAGTAAGTATTTTGAGCTTTGGTCCAACAGACTTTTGAGGACTTCCACTTTCTTTAAAAGTCCGTTCTGTAGATGACGCTAAACATCTAGGCCCTGTTTGGGAGAGTTTTCAGTTTCTAAAATTCCTTCTACTAAATCGGCTTTGAAGAATGCATTTTAATGAAAAGAATTTAAAGCAAAAAAGTTGTTTGGTAGGTAAATTTTTTGAAGTTCTTTTAACTATTAACATAATTTAACTTGACAATTATATTCTTATTAAATCATGAATAATAGCAAAGAGTTGAATTGGGAAGAAAGAAAAAAAAAAAAAAAAAAAACATATTTAAAGTGCACAAAGAACGGAAGTAAAAAAAAAAAAAAAAAAAAAAAAAAAACCATAATTAAAGTGATAGATGCAGCAACGATTAATTGGCATAGCGAAGATTCGGTATTCAAATTTAACCCAACCCAATTTACATGGTAGAAGTTTTTTTTTTTTTTTTTTTTTTTAAATTTCCTTGACTACATGACAGAAGTTGAAAGAGATGGAAAAAGAAGGAAAGAAAAATAAAAAGAAAGAGAGAGATGGCAACAAAAATATCCCAAAAAAAAAAAAAATTATATCTATATATATATATATAATTTTTTTTTTTTTTTTTGAGAGAAAGAAAAATTATTTAGAATTTTATATAGGTTGAATTTTGGTTGGGAGTTCATAAATTTTGAAACTCTTCAGGCTTTGAAGTCAAATAAGAGTCAATAGTAATTTTTCCTCCAACTTTTCAATCTTTTTGTTTTTCCTTTGTTGAATCTTTTTTCAACAATATTTTTTTCAATAAAATTCTATAAAATTTTGCTTAGCATTATTTTTTTAATTTTGGATAGAAAACGAACAAAGAAGATGATATGGAAAGAGAAAGATAAAAGTTTGCAATGAAATTCAAAAATGGAAATACGTTAAATAATGTACAATATAGGGATTTTATATTTATTACTTAAAAAAGTGTGTAACTCGCGGGAAGTCAATCAGGAAGCATGTTTTATTGGCTTTGGTCAATCGGGTTTCGAAACCACTTGGACTTTTTAAAAGTTCGTTTTTAAAAAATTTACCAAACGCTTTTTATTATTGGCAAAGGACTTTCTAGGATTAGAAGCCCGTTTTGAAGCTATAAGAAGCCCAGCCAAACAGGCTATTTTTCTAGGAATGCCTTTTGGGGCCTAAAAGTCTGTTTGGAGGCTCCAAAAAGCTCAGCCAAACAAGCCCTAAATATAGTCCAACCCAACACAAGATAATTGAATAAAATAAATACAATTTAACCAATACAAATAAACAATTAATTTAACCCAATCTAATTAAATTAAATCCATTTAATAATTCCTTTAAAAAACAGTGTTGGACCACAAAGCCCGATCTTAACCTTACCCACGCGAAATTACCGACGGTGAAGAGAAGATCTATGTTCGCCACTGCAATTGTCGAAACTATTGGCATCACCGAGCAAATCTTCGTTGCCACTGCAATCGTCGATCATGCCTCTAATTCGTGAGCGGTGGTGGTGATTTTGATTGTTGATGGTGACAGCGGAGGTGGGTTTCTCTTATTCGCGAGCAGTGGTTGCTTTGCCTTTGATCTCGTCGCTTCTGATCTACGACAGTGGTGGTGGTTGTTTTTGATTGTTGGTGGTGACGACGGTGGTATGGTGGGGTTTCTCATGAAGAAGGCGGCGATGGTGGTAGGTGGTGTCAGGACAAAGAGGGTATGGGAGGGATAGAGATAGAGACAGAGAGGGTATATGTTGTGGTATAAGGTAGTGTATGTAAGAGACAGAGGGTATGGTAGGTTAGAGAGAGTTTGAGGGGCAAAAATGAAACTTGTCAATACACAATATCTTTTATTTTTTTCAATAAAAATAAATATTTTAATTTTAAGGTAAAAAATGTAAATTTATATTGATCCCCTGTGGTCAAACAGTTAATATGGACCTTTGTGCTATATTGTTATAACTTTGATCTACATGCACGATATAAAAATTTCTGAGCGTGGTTTCTATAATTTGCCCAAAAAATAATATGGGACTTAACAAAATTTAAAAAGAAATGCAAAGGGATAAAGTTTTTTTTTTTTTTTTTTTGACAACCCAGTCCCACAGCTGCAATACCGGGTAAGTTGACAAAACTAAAAGAAATGCAAAGGGATAAAGTTTTTTTTTTTTTTTTTTGACAACCCAGCCTGTCCCACAGTTGCAATACCGGGTAAGTTGACAAAACTAGAGGTTGGTAGAGGACTCGAACCCTGGCATCCTATGTGGATGTCCCAAGCCTCACCATCACTGTTGGTCCGCCGGGGCAAGGGATAAAGTTTTTAATTTCTCCATAAGAGAAAAAAACCAGTATCTAGTCAAGTAGTCATCTATCCAGCTATGAAATTTCCCTTCAGAAAAGGACTTAAAAAATTAAAGTTTTTAATTTTTCTGTAAGAGAGAAAAACGAGTATTTGCCTATCTGGTCAAGTAGTCTTCTATCCAGCTATGAAATTTCCCTTCAGAAAAGGACTAAAAAAATTAAAGTTTTTAATTTCTCTATAAGAGAGAAAAACGAGTATTTGCCTATCTGGTCAAGTAGTCTTCTATCCAGCTATGAAATTTCCCTTCAGACTAAAAAAATTAGCATTTTTTATTTTTTATTTTTTTATTTTTTTGGGACTAGTGGCCCAATAATACCATATTTTTGACCTCTATTAGCAGTCTTCCTTTGTGTGCGGAGAAAATGGTCATATGTCCCTAAATTAGTCAAAAGTCTTGACTTTATCCCAAAGCATATGGACTAAGCTAGTCTTGAACCGTGAGGATAGAAATGATGATATCCCAAAAACTACCCATTAACACTGACAATTTCATCTGATTTATATAATGGGTAATTTAGTAATTTCATATGAATCCCTTCTATATCCATTCAAGAACTTCTTCCGAGCGAAAAAAATTTACTAGTACACACAGAAATGGGGAGGCAATTTCTATGCATAATGTTCACGCTTAGTCTAGTGATTGTTGGCAGTATGGCAATTGGTGAGACTGCTTCTAATGTGAAAGCTACATACCATTTCTATAATCCTGACCAGAATGGATGGAACTTGACTGCTGTTAGCGCTTACTGTTTCACCTGGGATGCTAATAAGCCCTTGGCATGGCGGAGCAAGTATGGCTGGACCGCCTTCTGTGGCCCGGTCGGGCCTCGTGGCCAGGCAGCCTGCGGCGAGTGTTTGCTGGTAAGCCATGAAACATCCATTTTTCTGTTTTTGTTTCTCCTTTCAAGATCTTGTTTTCCTTATGGTTTTATTAGAAAATTTTAATTTTAGATCCTCAATTGGGATCTTTTGAAGAGGGGTTTGGTGAGATTGTTTCAAATTCTAGGATCGGTTATTAATCCCTCTGGTGGGTGGTATAACCTGGTTCACGTGGTAGCTTATACATATTATTTTCTTTTTGCTAGTGTTTCAATAACGAGTATTTATATCTTTTTTTTCATTCGTTTGTAATCTCTTTTACTCCGTCACACCTCCTTCCCACATGTTATTCGCGCCACTCACAAACACACAGCCATTGACGTCCTCTCCTTGTGCTTCACAATCTCTGTAAAAATAAACCTTAGATCGTTCATCAAGGCTGTATCTCAAGCTCAGGAAAGTGATCGATAATGACGAAAGCACCAGCGGCTCATCCCCAGACAACCCTCAATCGGGAAAATTAAGGCTTCTCGTTCTTTAGCAGTTCTTCCTTTCGTCAAGAGCCATTTGTGGAGGTTATGTATGCTCTTCGTTCTCTGCAAACCTAACCATTAAATCCGTATTCATGGCTACTGTGAACAAGGGGCGGCAAAGCACTAGTAGGGGTGGCAGAGTTGCTGATTTGGGAAATTTTGGGTAAAGGCTTGCTTGGGTGTGCTGCTTGATTGTAAGGACCGGCTTGGGTGTAACTTGGAAATTAAGGGCATTATTGTCCTTTTATGCTTCTAAGGGCACTATGGTTATTTAAAATGAAGCAACTAATTTTCACCATCAAATCTCGCCAGGCCTTGGCCGGGTGAGGTGTTCTATAAAAAAATTTGTATAGTTCAAGGATTTTCTACAATTTTGGTAATTGAAGGGATTGGTTACAGGTTTTAATAATTCAAGAAGGTTTCTTGCATTTTATTTATTTATTTATTTATTTTCCTAATGACAAGGTGAGAGCAATTGTGTGAGTTTTTTTTGACTAGGTAAAATATATATATACATACATCCACGAATTGACGCAATTCTTGGAATAATATGAGCAGGTTACAAACACAGGTACCGGGGCTGAAGAAACGGTCAGGATTGTGGATCAATGCAGCAACGGAGGGCTAGATTTGGATGCCGGTGTGTTCCAAAAACTAGACACAGATGGAAGGGGCAATGCCCAGGGCCATCTTATGGTGAACTACACGTTCGTGAATTGCGGGACTGAATTAAGCAAGACCCAATTACTCTACTTAGATTGCACATTAGATAAATAAATAAGAGCTTGTGAAAAAATAAATTCCAGGAACAGAAATGATTAATCGTTCGAACTCGGAAGACCAAAGGACCAGTCACCTACCTTCAACAAATCTTTGGGTAGTGGGTTCCATTAATATATTTTCAAAGTTACTATTACCGTACCATATAAATATCATAATCAAATATTGCAGCCAGCCACATGAGTTGCTATTGCTAGTTATTCCGGACCTTCCGGTTGCCCTAAAAGGGTATGTGAGCAGACGCTCTTACTCCGACCATTGCTTCAGAATTATGTGCCCCAGTCGTTATGTATCTTGGAAAGGACTATGCCATCTATGAAGATTGAATTAAACTAATTATTATGGAAATAAGCAAGTAGGACTGTCTTTTTTGCTATTGGATTGCAGGGAAAATGTCTCAGTAATTTCCTTTTTCTCTTACTACTATTTTTTCCCTTACTACTATTGATTTACCTAAAAAAAGGTTTAGGGTTACAATTTGGTGAATTTGAAATGGTTTTTGGCTGATTATTAATAAATGAGTCATTAACGAGTTAATAACTCATTATTAATCCATTCATGATGAGTTATAAATAAGTTGAGTGTTAAATGGATTTAGTCAATTCATACCCAACCCAATGACTTGAATATTTTTAAACACAAATTGTTAAATTATTTTGGTTGTCAAATACAAAATAAAAATAAAAATAATAAGTAAAATAAAATTTTGTTTATGTAGTAATTTTCTGTTCATTTTTTGGTTTCCGACGTTGCAATTTCTTTTTCTTTTTTTCACCGAAAAAAGTCACTTATATATATATATATGTCACACACAGACATATATAATTCTAAGAGCAAAAGAGAAAGGAAAGAAAATTTAAATTTTGAATTTGATTCTTTCAAATTTAGAAGAAAGAAAATATATGACCTTTAATACTTCTGAAAAATTTTGGTGGGTAGTGATCTAAAATCTCATTTAAAAGGCAGGGGTTATATTCTTTTTATTTTTTTTTACTTATTTTTTTTTCACCAGTAGGGTTTATATTCATATGCCCCTGTTTAGCTCTGTTTATTCTGTTCTTAATAGTATCCAAATTTCAATGGTAATGTCAGTTGTACAATTGATGTGCCTTACCTCTTACCTTGAAGGTAAATCTTCAGGTAAGAAACATTTTTAAAATTTGTACTGTATAGTTATATATAATTGACTCGGCAATTATTATTCAGTAAAAATATGATTGGAAATTCCCTAAAAAAAATAATAATAATATTTGTTTGCATTAATTTTGATATTTATTTATTTTTTTAAAATTTTTTGCACAAATGTAAATTGGTCCTGTACTTGAATTTTTTAGGGAATAACTTATGAAAAACAGAAGAGGGAGAGGAACATAAGAGGGATATAATAAGATAGAAGAGAGAAAGAAAAGAGAGAGAAACGGAGGAAAGAGAAAAAAAAGGCAAAAATAGGAATACACAGGAGAGACAGAAAAAGGGAGAAAATAGGGAATACAAAGGGCAGAGAAACACGAAAGAAAAGGGAAAATATTAGGTGTTTCGATACCCACCACTTATTTTATGGTTAGAACCCATAAAAAAAAATAATAATAATAAAAAAAAAAGGGATGTAAATATGCCCAAAAAAACTTCACACATCATCGTCTAAATGACAAGCCCTTTTGACATTTTACAATAATAATTGTAAGGAATTTCTCTCTCTACAATTATAAGTTTCTAGTTTCTTTACTCACAGGGAAAAATAATCTACCTCGACTAGTCGCCAGACCCCTTTAACATATTTCGTTATCAGAGGTAAAGAAGATTTCCATCAGATAAGAATGATGATATTTCTTATCCAGGATAATGATTGACGACGTAGTTCCACATGGTGATGATAACCTTGGCACAATTTGAAAAAGTCAAAGGAGTAAATCATATCTCGACAAATCTGGCAACAAACGATCTCCTCTGATCTTGCACAAGTAGATTTCCGGCGGCACCAGTTTGATTTCAATCGACAATCATAAATAGGGCACCAAGTCGTTAAAAAGGGACGAGAAAAAAACCCCTAGACAGAATATACATAATTATTATGTAATACGATTACAAGTACTAAGTTAATCGTCGGAAAGTCCTCGGCTGACACCCCACCAGTGCCATTTGAGATGACGTCTTATTATTTTGCAGGTAAACGCCGTCATTCCAAGTTATGAAAATTTTCGCATCAACATTTACTGTTTCAGAATTTTTATTTTTTAAAGATTCATGGGTTGGTAACGAGTATCCACTCTTAACCCACTTAAATATATTACTTATTAATAACTGATCATTAATAATTCGCTCAGTGGCAAAAAAAAAAAAAAAAAATTATACTATTCACCCAACAATCATTAATTATTGTACAAATTTGGGCGGGTATTTGGGTTTTGGTAATTTTTGCCACTCCTGTAAAAAAAAAAATTAATACTGTACTAAACAGTTGTATGGACAGATTGATTGATGTTGAATGACATAAGGAGGACTCTGATACTAGGTTTGCTGTAATTGAGTCTTGCTGGACGATAGCAACACAGCATCAAGTAACTTTCCAAAAACGAAAACACTTCATTTTTTAGACACATATATATGTTTCACTCTTTTACTCAGCTAGCTGTTACATTCACCTCCACACGCAAACAATAATATATATGTGTGTGTCAGTTGCTAACCAAAGCATTTTCAACTTGAGAAATGCTAACGTGCTGTCACTGATCAGGATGAGATCAGTTTCATTCACATTTCACACCATTCATGGCATGTTCTCATGTTCAATGTTTGCATTCCAGTTTTGTCAAAATATTTTAACAGTAGAAACAGTTCGATCACACACACAGACACACACATATATATAGTTGTTATTACAACACTTACAAAAAAAGGTTAAAATTAAAGTCACAGTTCGAAAGCACCTAATTATTTTAAAAAACAGGAATATTGCTTTCACCTTTACTTCTCACACATAACAAGTCAAATGACGTTGTAAATATCTTCCATCCCACAATTGTAATCCATTTATTATACTTGAATATTACAATAATTTGAAGTAATCAGTTGATCTGTCCTAATGTTAATGTTAATGTATTTTTAATTTATTTATTTTTTTTTTAAGTTCACGCAAACAATTAATATTTTCTCAATAAAGCTCCAATAAAATGGCTTTTACTTTATTAAATTTGTACTGTTTCTTCATGAAATCAGCACTAGTGTTTTTTCCATGATAACTACATAGGTGTTCGGAGGCGTTTGGATCTAATCCAAGTTGCAGATATTTTCAACACAATTATTTGAGATGTCAAAATCATTTTTTCTAACACAATTAAATCGTTTTCAATGCAATAGTTATACTATAAAATAATTTGTTAAAAATAAGTTTTAACTGTGATGGAACCTCAGCCGCTGCGGGCATCAGTAGTAGATCCTGAAAGATAGTGCACTTCACCATCACTCATCGCTCTTTGCTTGTGACAGCACTCTTTTCTTGGAATAGCAAACCTAAAAGTTACGTCTCTTTCATGCTTTAAAAAGTCATTACAGTATAGTACATTTTGATTCTCACTGTCATATATATACATATATATACTCCATTAAGCTAGTAAATGCACTCCAAGTCTCCAATGATTTAATTCACAGCCAATGCTCACCCTTCACTTTTATATGTCCTCTGTCCTATACCTTGTGACACACAAGCTTAAACTCAAGCTCCTCCTCCTCCTCTCTCCCTCTCTCTCTCTCTCTCTCTCTCTCTCTCACACACACACACACACACACACAACTATATTTCTCTGTCAAAGTTTTAGAGAAGCATGGAAGAGAAAGGCAAAGCTGTGGAAACATGTAATAGTGATGATGACTACTCATCATCAGACATTCCATGCAACAAACACCCAATTTCATCATCTGCTGTAGGAATCTGTGCTCATTGCCTCAGAGACAGACTGATCAAACTAGTCTGCTCAGATTGTGGAGAACAAAGTCTCTCTTCATGCTCTTGCTCTCAACTACTCTTCTCATCATGCACTAATCCATGCAGTGTTGAGGTAGGAAGTGTTGGGAGAATCTCATTCTTGATAGAGAATGAGAGAACTCATCACACGCGACACTTGAATTTATATTCAAAGCCCAAAAATGGAGAGAGGTCGTCAGGAGAGCTTGTGCTGCTCAAGAGGAGTAATAGTAGCTGTGTTGATATCAAGAACTCAAAGAAGAGTAGTGGGTTTTGGAGGATTAGGAGGTTCTTTAGGAAGAAAATAGAGAAGGGTTGTGAGAGGATTAGTGTTGGTGAGTCTCAGGAGAAGAGTACTGATGTGTGGTCTAGGTCTAGGTCACTTTGCAGTTTCAGGGGTTGTGGGATCAATGAACCCGATGAAAATAGTGATTTTGCTTCATCAAGTGCAAAAATATCTGATGTTAGTGGTGGTGTGATGTTAGATTCTGAGAAACATGGTTCTGGAGGTATCTTGGAGTTTGAAAATGTCTCTAATCTGAAGGGTGTGAAAATGGATGGTCTCTTGGAGCCTGATAGTGCTTCTAATGTGAAAAATGGGAGTGTTGTTCTAGTAAAAGAAAGTGAGTTCAATGGCATGGAAGACTCGGGTTTTATTGACTTGAAGCTTGATTCAGCATCAGAATCAAAACCAGAGTTCTCTGCTCCAAAAATGAGTGACTTCTCAGACTCGGATTTTAGTAGCTTGATAGGTGGGATGGCAATGAACGACGGAAGAATGAGAAAGGGCAGGAAGCGCCATAAGGCATGGAGATGGATTTTCAAGCATCATTCCGGTTGGGAAATGGCAACCATGAAGGTTAAAGACTAGTCCATTGCACGAGACTTACAGGTGGAGTTTTGAAAGGATGTGATGTACAGAGTCTTATTTTTTATGGAGATAACAATGGAGTAACCTTAGGTTTGAAGCCTTGATCTTGATAATTTTTTGTTGGTAATTTAGACAGAAATTAAATGAATAAAACCTACAGTATGTGTGTTCTAGTGAGGCAGTGGTACGTACTCGCTACTACATGTGTATCTGTTTTAGTGAATGCTAGTCTTACTTGAAAAAGAAATGTCAAATGTGTGTTTTAAATAAAAATTAGTTCGACTGAGGTGGTGTAAGAATATCAGAATCTCACTTGTCATTTGAGTCCGGGAGACTATGTTCAATTTTTAATCCAATTCGTCATTTAACATTAGCCTTCCAAGTATAAATTGCTACACATGCTTCAAAATCAATACTAGTATGATTAAATACTATAATTATCCAATATAATCAAGTATTTCAGTCTAAGCAAAACAATGAACTATCTCAATTCTTGTTCTACAAACAATCCCTATTGTCCCCCCAAATTCACTGTATCAATTCTGAAAGAACCAAATGCTCTACCATATATTTATGAAAATTTCTGTCACTCTACTTTTCAACCCAATAAATGGTGCACAATTCCAAATTTTCTACAGCGTTTTACAACAATGACGGTACAACTCAAGTTTCATCTTTTCTAATTTTATTTTATTTTATTATTATTTTTTTTTTCATGCAAACTTCATATATAATTCTTGTAACTTTCCTTCCATGTTCTTCTATGCAAAATCATATATGTGAATTCTAATTAACATAAGATTGTTTTAATAAACTTTTTATATTTTTATATAAAATAAATGACAGCATCAAAGCATCAGCAAATTTGTTCTTTGAAGTGAGAGTAAAATGGTAATTTCAAAGTTTTTGTTTGTCTTCCTCACCAACTTCCCTCTCTTTTTCTTCTCTCTCACCCAACTCTTTATCTCCACTTTACTATTCTTCAAACCACCAACTCCACTGTGAGGGACCACACATTCTCTCAGCAGTCATGATTTAATGCATACAGACGGTTTTCCGTTTATACTGTTGCCTTCATTCCAGTTCCTAATCAACCATTGTTTCCCAATCGCAATTACGCGATACATGAACTTCTTCAAATCGGCTACTTTAAGTAGTTAGTATTTTTTTTTACTCACCCACTGGTCAAAGTTTTGCCCTACCCACTGGTCAAAGTTTTGCCCTATTGAAGATTTAATAGAGGAATTATGGAAGAAAATCATTCAGTAATTAATTTAGTTTTCTGTTATTGAATATTTAGTGTCACTAAAGAAATCAGTGGAGAAAAATCATCCCTATTTCTTATTTTCTCCTTTTCCTACTCTAATCATTTCCTCTCTTCCATTGTGTTATGTATGAAAAGAGAGACTAAAAAATAATATGTTTGGGCTTTGTGTTCTTCTTCTTTCATTTCTTTCTTCACTTATGCTTTATGATTTACAAGATGGTATCAAAGTCTAATTTCTCTTCCTAGGTTCAGATTCTTATTTTGGGGTATTGTATTTGTATGTTGTTAAACGTTTCTCTGTAATATTTGTGACTTGTTTGGGTTGCTGGTGTGTTCAGTAATATTGTTCTTGGCCTTTGTCATATCTTAGGTAATTTTTATTGACTTGTTTGGAAGGTCAATACGACGATATGTTTGTAACATTGTTCTTCACCTTTACCTTGCCTCTGACAAATTTTGACTTGTTTCGATTGTTGGTGTGTTTCGTAACATTGTTCTTTGCATTCTCTATTCTGTTTCCATCATTAGCACTTGCTGTTACTAGTCATTTCAGTGGTAAATTGGGTATTTATGCTCTAACTTGAGAGAGTATTGAAGATTTGATGGAGAAATCAGTAGAGGAAAATCCTCCGGTCATTGATTTATTTTCCTATTATTGAAAATTTACTTTTACCAGAGGAATCCGTGGAAAAAAATCCTACTTATTTTTTATTTTCTATCACTTTCCATTCTTATCATTTCTTCTCCAACCTCCACCATTGTCATACTTATGAAAAGAGAGATTATAATAAAAGACAAGAAACCCTTGAAATTTGTGTGCCGTGGATGTAGAGGCCCTACTGACTGAACCGTAATATGGTATGTTCTTTTTCTTTCATTTCTCTCTTTGCTTATGTTTTATGATTTACAACAATCCCATATGTGCAAATACCCACAAATCACATATTGTCGTTGCATCATATGAAAATCGAATTTAAGAAGTTCGAGTTCACTGATCACTCAAAAGACCTCTTATCCACTAGCCGCCGACAAAATTGCTTTTTTTCTTCATGTTATACATTTTGAGATTGTTTTGTGATCAATTTTGACTCAAATTGAACCGATTATTGATATTTACTGGTGATTAGATTTTCATTTTTTTCTTTTTTTCCCCGCAATTTTTAGAAATAGTTAAGTTTTTAGAACAGTTGATTTTGGGTTTGCTTTTGGTTGTTAAGTTTCTTGGAGCTCATAGTGCTTCTAATGTTGCAAAGGCATGAAAGAGAGGCTTCACTGACGTGAAGCCTGATTTAGAATCAGAATCAAAACCAGAGTCCTTCTCAGCCTCAATTTTTAATAGTTGCTTGATATATATAGGTGGGACTTTTGTGGGACATCACGAGTGTGGAGGGTCTCTGAGGATTCTGATAGGAAATAGGTTTCTTAGCAATGGGAGTTCATGTAGGACCACAATGAGGTCAACTGACCATACTAATGATTTTCTTTCGGACATAGTTTGTATCAGCAGGTTTAAAAATCACTAGAAATCTGAATGACTTATTTCAAGTGTATATAGTATTTGAATTTAATGATACCGAGAGTTATAGTTCAGTGTTATTTTCTTTTACCTTTAAAAGCAATCGGTGGAGCGTTTAGGACCATGTAAAGTGTCTTGCCAAGATAAAAAATAAAAATAAAAATCAGCATTTTTATCTTATATATGCACATCAATACCAAAAAAAAAGCGATCAAAGAGTAGGAACAAACAGTTGAGTAATTTATTTATTTTTTTAATTTTTTATTTCTAAGAAATTGCACATCCTGGGGCCTCTTTCTCTGCATATGAAGTTTCCAGGTTCTTTCTCTGCCTATAAAGTTACATAAATGCCATAGGTCTATAACATTTGGTCCCCAAAAACTTTTTAGAAGTAGCTAAATGTGGTATATTTAAATATTGTTCGGGAAACTCAGAAACACTTTAAAAAAAATAAATAAATAAAGTCAAACGCAAATATATTACATGTTGGGGCGTCCAAGAATCATTTTCCTCCATGTTTATTTAATGAATCATACATATATATATATGAAGAAGACAGGTTTATCTAAATGGTTCAATTCCTTCTAAGTTAAGTAACAAGATGAAACAGCCGGAGAAGGATCAACCGTGGAAGCAGTCAATTTTTTAGCTTGGACACACGGACAAGTCTTTGAATTTTCTAAAGATTGAGCTTAATTATGTGGCTAAAGATGAATGGAATGTTGAATGCTGTTGAATACAATGAGATAATGTTTTTTAATATCCACCGCAATACATAAATACACTTGTAATCATCACATACCAAAATTCAAATAAGAAGGAAATATCTTAGCTGCACAGAATTTTCATATAAAAAAACAAAGTTTGAATGACAGATTACTTATTTAAGTTGTCTAAGGAACTTGAATTCAACATTCTTTATCTTATAGACTTATATATTAATATATATATCTCTACACACACACACACAGAGAAACACATACATTATTGAGAAGTAAGAGAGCACAAACTAGAAGGTAGGAAGCAAACACGGGAAGGAAGACGTTTTTGAGAGAGATGTATGTGACCAGGCCTCTTTCTCACTACTTGAAGTTTCCCGATTCTCTTTCATTACCACCTGAGGGTCCAAATTCTGGCTATTTAGTTCTTCAAGATGAAGAGTCCGAGACCACTCGTTGTTTCGGATTGTGCAAGGACCGTGACCTCCAAGGCCTGCCATTTCCTCAGAACAAATACCTAACGATTCGCTACTCATCAGGTGGAGGTGAGAACAGACATGTTTCTTATAATGAAGTTGCCTTCATTCCGGTTCTTAATCAGCCATTGTCTTCCAACCGCTATTATGCAATAAAGCCGCATGGGAAGCATAAAGGGTATGTATTTAACCACTAAATAAACTTGAATTTGAGTACTTTAATCGGTCGTCAAGGTCCTTGATTGAGCTTTTTTTATTTTATATAATTCCACTGAACATGTTATAGGTACACATCGTGTTTTAGCATATTATACTTGCTAGAATTTAGTAGGGCTGCAACTTGGGTTGGCCCAACCCAGCTCAGTCCCAACCCAACTTCAACCCGAAGCGGGTTGGGTTGGGCCAACCCGAATTGTATTCATCATGGGTTATGATCATAACTCGAACCGAATATTTTCGGACGGGTTGGGTTGGGTCGGGTTGACGGGTTGAGGTTTTTTCTTTTTAATTTTTTTTTTTAATTTATATATATTATATTATATATATATATATATATATTATATTTGATTATATTATTATAAAAATATATATATATATTTTTAGGGCAAATCATTTCAGCCCCCCTATCGCCTCCAGCTCCATTCTCTCTCTCTCTCTCTCCAACTGCAAGTTACAAAATCTACAAGAATCAGAAGTTCAAAACCCACATATTACAATTTTATCTATCTGTGTGCTAGAATCAAAAGTTCAAAACCCATATCGGCATATCATTTCAGATTATTCAAAAAATCAAAACATCGGCATATCATTTCAAATTGTTCATAAAATCAAAACCAAGATCTTTCAGTTTCCATCGCCCGCTGTCCAGTTTGTTCAAGCTTCGCCAGATTGGTTCAAGCTTCGCCAGATCATTTCAGATTTGTTCAAAAAATCAAAACCCAGATTGTTCAAGCTTCGCCCATGGACGGCGGCAGAGAGAGAAAGATAAAGAAAAAGAAGACAGGGAAAGAGAAAGAGAAAGAAAAAGAAGACAGAGAAAGAGAAAGAAGAAAGAGGAGAGAGAGAGGAGAGAAAAAAAAAAAAAAAAAAAAAAAAAGCCCCCTTCTCAACTCTCAAGCTACGCCCATGGACGGCGGAGGATAGAGAAAGAGAGAGGAGAGAGAAAGGATGAAAAAAAAAAAAAAAAAAATGGGTTTTGGGTTGGGTTCGGGTTGAGCCCAGCCCAACCCGATTTTGTCTGAGTTTTGGCAAAACCCAACCCGAACATGAACCCGACTTGTGAATATAAGCCCCAATTTCAAAAATTCTGGGTTGGGCTTGGGTTGAGCTGGGTTAACCCGCCCAAATTGCAGCCCTAGAATTTAGTGGACAAACTAGTTGCCTTTTGGGGTGCTGAGGCAGAGCTCAAACAGAGCACTGCTTGAGACCTGTGCAATTCAGGACCAATTATGCAAACATGCTTAAAGGAGTGAGTTGATATGAAAAGGGGACTTCAATTTTATTCTTTATGATCTAAAATTCGAGCTCAGACACACTGCGCGAACCAGAGGCTCTTATTTGTTGGGCTGCTACCATGTACTTGATTTTGCTTGTCCTCAAGGGCCATATAGTTAAAATTTGCTAAGTATCTAAATCCAAATTCCTTTTGCAGAGAAGCATATGCTAGTTCAACTGAGGAAGACAAGGCTACCTGCTGTTTCTGCAGATGTGTTCGAGATGTAAAGCCAAGGCCATTAAATCCCAATGACACGCATCAGCAATTTGAGATTTTTCTTTACCCACAACTATGCAAAGCTGGGGGTAATTTCTATGCAAAATCTGTTGCACCAGATGGGTATCCTCCATACTTCATGAGGAGAAAAGGGTGGGAAATTTATACCAAAACACCCAAAAATTATGAATTGGGTGAAGCTCCAGGTCTTGACACTGCTCTTCGTGCTCGCCTTCCAGAATTCCACTTTCCGTTAGCATGTAAAATTTCTGAAGCTGTCACCATTGGCAAGTGGTATTGTCCGTTTATGTTTGTCAAAGAGGGAACTTTGAAAGAGCAGATGAAAAAATCAATGTTCTACGAGATGACACTCGAGCAAACATGGGAGCAGATTTTTGCATTGGAGAACAATTATAGCGAAGGAAATACTGTTTCTGTGGATGCTGTTGTTCAGAAAGAAGTTGCCTTAGTTGCTCAAAGGGAAGCTGTTTGGGATGAGAGAAAAGTGGTTGATGGGGCAATATGGTTTACAGGTTCTGGTAGTGTAGGAGAAGATTTAAAAGTGGGCTTGAGTTTACCAATTGTTGAGAGGATGAAATGGGAGCAAGAAAGAGCTGGGTGGATCGGTGGGGAAGAAAGGCAAATGAGGGTGAAGAGAGTAGAAGAGTTTGGAGGGAATGGTGGGTGGAGAAGATTTGGTTGCTATGTATTGGTTGAGAAGTTTGTGTTGAAAAGAATGGATGGGAGTGTTGTCATGACCTACTCTTTCAATCACACACATCAGATTAAGAGCAAATGGGAATGAGATTATGTACTATTTCTTTTGAAACAATCAGAAAAATCCGATTTTTCTTTTTATTGTGTAATTTGTATTATATGTTCATGTTTCTATTCTGTGCGAGTAATAAAAACAAGCATTCATACCTTCGGCCTAAAGGTCCAGTTGATATGAGCTCCTTCACCAAAAGAGAGGTGAGCGGTTTGAGCCCCACATGTGACAGTGTGGTGTGTGAATGTGTGCTTGTGTTGCTTATCTAAAAATAAATAAATAAAGGTGATTTCAATGGCATGAAAGATTAAGACATTATTGACCTGATGCTTGATTTAGCATCAGAATCAAAACCAGAGTAATCTGCTCCAGAAAATAATGATTTCTTAGATTCAGATTTTAGTAGTAGCTTGATAGGTGGGACTTTTGTGGTGTGGAGGGTCTTTGAGGAGTCTGGTAGGAGATAGGTTTCTTGGCAATCCATGATCACAATGAATTACAGAAGAATGAGAAAGGGCGGGAAGGGCCTTAAGGTAAGGAGATGGGTTTTCAAGCATCATTCTGGTTGGGAAAGGGCAACAAAGAAGTTTGAGAATCATATTTTGATGCCCTGATTTTGACGAACAACAAATACTGAAGGGACTTTTTGTTGGTAGTTTAGATAGAAAAAAAACTACAGTACGTGTTTTAGTGAGGCAATGTTAGTACTACACATCTCTTTCCTGTTGCAGTCCCTTCTTCTTTCTATTGTTTACTAAATTTAATTAATGAATGCTAGTCTTATTTGAAAATGTCTAGTGTAAATGCTAAATAAAATTTGGTGAACTTCTAACCGGCCAATCCTATCAATATGGCAATGGTATCATGGGCATTTAAAGGGTATTTTTGGGTTTTAAAAGAATATTTCGGTCAAAATTGATCATAGAGGACAATTTGCTCCGAATTTTGATAATACAGGAATTTACATACAAAAATAAAAAGTAAGGGCGATTTTTTCACATATTTTATACACTTTACCCAAATATTAATAAATTTTGATGTTTTAACAGTACACCAATAACAATATATTTTACTTACCAATGAAGACAAAACTATGAATCAACAAAGAAGATGTTTTTTTTTTTTTTTTTTGAGAAATATGTCCTCTGCATATGTGAAGTTTCCAGGTACTTTCTCTGCAGATGAGGTTGAAAAGTATGCAATTTTCCAAACCCAAAAAGAATTGAAAAAGTCAATGTTTAAAATGTCGGCAAAGATATTAGAGGCTGGTGTGTCCACAACTCATTTTCCTCCTTGTTTATTATTTAATGAAAAATTGTGAAGCATGCGGAAAGGATCAACCATGGAAGCAGTCAATTTTGTGACTTAGACCACGCGGAAAGGATCAACTATTGAATGCAGGGACCAAGTGTTTCTAATATGCAGCATAAAACATAGAAGTCGACTAGAAAACATTTGATCTCAATTTCATGGTATTTTCATGCACTTCAAGATAATCATATCTTTGTGTTACAGACTTTTATATATATATAAATATTCACACATAAACACATACATACTTTACAATTGAGATCAACAAAAATCACAAGGTAGGAAAGAAACACTGGAGGGAAGAAGTTTTTGAGAGAGATGTATGTGACCAGGCCTCTTTCTCTCTACTTAAACTTTCCTGATTCTCTTTCACTACCACCTGAGGGTCCAAATTCTGGCTATTTAGTTCTTCAAGATGAAGAATCTGAGACCACTTGTTGTTTCGGATTTTGCAATGACCCTAACCTCCAAGGCCTGCCATTTCCTCAGAACAAGGACCTGGCTATTCACTACTCAACAGGTGGAGGTGAGTACAGAAGCGATCATTATGATGATGTTTCATTCATTCCAGTTCTTAATCAGCCATTGTCTTCCAATCGCTATTACGCAATAAAGCCGCATGGAAAGCATAAAGGGTATGCAATAAACCACAAAATAAACTAGAATTTGAGTACTTTATTAGGTTTTCAAGGTCCATGATTGAGCTTTTTTCTTTTCTCTAATGCCACTGGAAATGTATTTTGTACACATTCATGTAATATAGGAGGTGATCATGGGCATAAAGTGTTAATGCAGAGCTTAAACAGAGCACTGCTTGACACAGATATTCAAACAAGTTTAAAGGGCTCAGTTGATATTAATTGGTCTGCATGGGCTATATAGTCAAAATTTGCTAAGTATCTGTGTTCAAATTCCTTTTATAGGGAAGCATACGCTTGTTCAACAGAGGAAGACAAGGCTACCTGCTGTTTCTGCAGATGTGTACAAGATGTAAAGCCAAGGCCATTAAATCCCGATGACATGTATCAGCAATTTGAGTTTTTTCTTTACCCAACATTTTGCAAAGCTGGGAGTAGTTTCTATGCAAAATCTGTTGCACCAGATGGGCATCCCCCGGACTTCTTGAGGAGAAAAGGGTGGGATGTTAAAACCAAAAACCCCAGAAACTATGAATTAGGTGAAGCTCCAGGCCTCAACGCTGCCCTTCGTGCTCGCCTTCCAGAATTCAACTTCCCGTTAGCATGTAAAAATTCTGAAGTTGTCATCATTGGGAAGTGGTATTGTCCTTTTATGTTTATCAAAGAGGGAACTTTGAAAGAACAGATGAAAGCATCAATGTTCTACGAGATGACACTAGAGCAAACGTGGGAGAAGATTTTCGCATGTGAGAACAATTATAACGAAGGAAACAGTGTGTCTGTGGGTGTTGTAGTTCAGAAAGAAGTTGCCTTTGTTGCTCAAAGGGAAGCTGTTTGGGATGAGAAAAAAGTGGTTGATGGGGCAATATGGTTTACAGGTTTTGGTGGTGTAGGAGAAGATTTAAGAGTGGGCTTGAGCTTAGCAATTGTAGAGAGGATGAAATGGGAGCAAGAAAGAGGTGGGTGGATTGGTGGGGAAGAAAGGCAAAAGAGGGTGAAGAGAGTAGAGGAGTTTGGAGGGAATGGTGGGTGGAGAAGATTTGGTTGCTATGTATTGGTAGAGAAGTTTGTGTTGAAAAGAATGGATGGGAGTGTTGTCATGACCTACTCTTTCAATCACACACATCAGGTTAAGAGTAAATGGGAATGAGGATTATGTACCATTTCTTTTGAAACATTCAGAAAACTCCAATTTATCTTTTTTATCGTGTGTATGTTCATGTTTTATTTTGTTATGTTCTTGTAATTCTTCACTCATGTATCCCTAAATTTTGATAATACATACAAGTATATTGAATTATGGATAGATCAATAAGTTCAATGACATGCATAGCTGAAGAATAAGTAAAAATAGATATTCACTAGCATCCTTGGTATCAGTCTTCCAAAGTTCAATGACTTCAGAGAAGCAAGAAGGTACAAGTTACATAATAATAATCATACTAAAGTGTCTAACGTTGAAAGGAATTAAACATAAAACTACACTCTCTCTGACAATTTAAGTTTTTAGAATAGATGGTTGTTAATATGATATCAGAGCAGCAGGCCATGAATTCAAACCTCATTGTCACCTTGATAGTTAAAATTGAAATACGTGTTGGACCAAAAGAATGTCAAGTGTGACCCATACCTTCAAAATGCATAGTAATAGAACTTCCACGGTTCATCTGGAAAGAAAAGGAGAAAGAATGTTGCTAAAGATCAGAAAGTGGCATAAAGGGTACTAAAGGGTACTTTTGTGAGATATAATTGTAATTGGCAATATTCATTGTCAAAACAAGTCCGGTCAAGTTGTAATTTTATTGTTTAATTTTGAGTCTCGAGTTCGGAAGCGGAATTGAAGTATTAGGGAACGTGTCAACATTCTCCAATGAGTATATACTAGTATTTACTATTTAGTGATTAGGTTCTATTCCCTATCTTCAATTTTGAGCTTCTTTTAAGATTTCCATAAGCAGCAGAATATAGATTCAGCAGTAATATTTTTTGCCTAACCTTTTGGGACTCAAAATTTTTTATGTTTACCTTCATAAACATTCATAGCTTCCGGTTTGTCAAAAGCAATGTAGAATTTAGAGGACAAACTTGTTACATATGGGTGATAATAGGCACATTAAGGTTTCAGGACAAATTCTGCAACAAAGCAAGTTTAAAGGACAGTCGATATTAATATGGCACCTCAAATTTTTATTTATTTTTATTTTTTTCATGATGATTTAAAATTCAAGCTCAGACACAGCTGTACCAGAGTCTAAATTGTTGGGCTGCTACCATGTAATTGATTTGTTTGTCTGCATGGGCTGACCCTTATTTAAAAAATGTGAAGACAGATGTATTTGAATAGATCGATTTCTTCAAACTCAAGTAACAACATGAAGCATCAGGGAAGGATAAACCATGGAAGCTATGAACACAAGGACAAGTCTTTGAATTTTCTAAAGATTGTGCTCATGTGACTAAAGAAGAATGAAATGTTGATGTTGTTGAATACAAGGAGATAGTGTTTCTAATGCACTACAAGACATATAAGCACACTTGTAATCATCAAAGGTCAAAAGTCAACTAGGAAGTAACTTTGTTAGCTGCACAAGGTTTATATATAAAAAGACAAGTTTGAGTAGCAGATTACAATACTTGTTAAGCTGTCGAAGCAATTTGAATTCCACATTCTTGTTTTATAAGCTTATGTATTATCTAGAAATATTTACACATAAACTCATACATTGTTGACAATTAAGATCAACACAACTTACAAGGTAGGAAAGAAACAGTGGAGGGAAGAGGTTTTTGAGAGAGATGTATGTGACCAGGCCTCTTTCTCGCTACTTGAAGTTTCCTGATTCTCTTTCATTACCACCTGAGGGTCCAAATTCTGGCTATTTAGTTCTTCAAGATGAAGAGTCTGAGACCACTACTTGTTTCGGATTGTGTAAGGACAGTGAACTCCAAGATCTGCCATTTCCTCAGAACAAGGACCTAACTGTTCACTACGGATCAGATGATGAAGATGTTGCCTTCATTCCAGTTCTTAATCAGCCATTGTCTTCCAATCTTTATTATGCGATAAAGCCGCATCGGAAGCATAAAGGGTATGTATTGAACCACTAACTGAACTTGAATTTGAGTACTTTAAATAGGTTTCCAAGGTACGGTCCTATGTCACTGGACACAGTTCTGTGTACTCATAATCATGTAACATGGGAGGTCTCAGTATGCGTTACATATTCTACTTTCTAGTTTAAAACTTATGTAGGAAGAGTTGCTAATATCTATGTACACATTCCCAATCAGAATGGCCAATGATCAATACTCACTAGTTGCGCTAGCCACATGCCAAATTCCATAGTTGAGGGTTCAGAAATTGCCTATAGCTACTAGTAAGACTGTTAAATATTTTGGGATTTTTTTTTTTTTTTTTTTTTGTGGTTGAATTGGGACTCATTGATTTTTGGTATTTACTAGTTTTTAGTGATTGGATTTTATTACCTACTTTTGGTAATTTTTAGAGAGAGTTCAATTTTGAGCTTCTTTTTAAACAGATTATAGATTCATCTATCATATTTCTGAACTTTATTTTGCCTAAATTTTATGGATTCAAAGTTACTAATTTGTTACGTTTATGAACGTTCATAACTTTAGCTTTGTCAAAAAAAAAAAAAAAAAAAAAAAAAGACATTGTAGAATTTAGTGGACAAACGTGTTGCATCTGGGTGATATGGGCACATTAACATATTGCACCTGAATTCAAATTTCTTTAACAGGGAAGCATACACTTGTTCAGCTAAAAAAAACGAGACTGTTGGCTGTTTTGGCATAAGCGCTCGAGATGTAAAGCCAAGGCCATTAAATCCCCATGACATGTATCAACAATTTGAGATTTTTCTTTACCCACAACCACAAGGTTGCTATGGGGGTGGTTTCTACGCAAAATCTGTTGCACCAAATGGGCATCCTCCAAACTTCCTGAGGAGAAAAGGGTGGAAAATTTATACCAAAACCCCACCCAAAAAGTATGAATTGGGTGAAGCTCCAGGCCTCAACACTGCCCTTCGTGCTCGCCTTCCAGAATTCAACTTCCCGTTAGCATGTGAAATTTCTGAAGCTGTCACCATTGGCAAGTGGTATTGTCCTTTTATGTTTATCAAAGAGGGAACTTTGAAAGAACAGATGAAAAGGTCAATGTTCTACGAGATGACACTAGAACAAACATGGGAGCAGATTTTTGAATGTGAGAACAATTATCGCGAAGGAAATACTGTGTCTGTCAATGTTGTAGTTGTGAAAGAAGTTGTCTTAGTTGCTCAAAGGGAAGCTGTGTGGGATGAGAGAAAAGTGGTTGATGGGGCTATATGGTTTACAGGTTTTGGTGATGTAGGAGAAGAAATAAAATTGGGCTTGAGTTTAGTAATTGTTGAGAGGATGAAATGGGAGCAAGAAAGAGCTGGGTGGATTGGTGGGGAAGAAAGGCAAGTGTGGGTGAAGAGAGTAGAAGAGTTTGGAGGGATTGGCGGGTGGAAAAGATTTGGTTGCTATGTATTGGTAGAGAAGTTTGTGTTGAAAAGAATGGATGGGAGTGTGGTCCTGACCTACTCTTTCAATCACACACATCAGATTAAGAGCAAATGGGAATGAGATTATGTCATACTTCTGAAGCATTCAGAAAATTCCAATTTATCTTGTTATTGTGTATATGTTAAAAACTATTATGGGTGTTTTCTAAACTGGGAATGAGATTGAGATTTTCTCAATAGTGTTCCCATAACGAATTCAGAAACATTCAGAAAACTCCAATGCGTCGTTTTATTGTGTATCTGTTCATGTTTCTATTCTGATATGTTCTTTCTCCTGTAATTCTTTACTCCTGTATCCCTAAATTTTGATAATACACCTTTTTTTTTTTGAATTATGGATAAATATGTTCAATAAATATTTTGATAATACATAGCTGAAGTCTGAAGAATATGTGAAAATATATATTCTCCCACATGCATTTAATAATCAGTCTTCCAAAGTTCAATGACTGAAAATAAGCAAGAAGGTAAAAGTTACATAATAATAATCATACTAAAGACTCATGCAAGGGGTATTGACCCATACCTCCAGAATACATAGTAACAGAACTTCCATGGTACATCTGCAAAAGAAATGAGGAAAGTGAGCTGCAAGATTATGATATCTGCACTTACAAGTTAAAACCACCATTACTATTGTCAATGATGCAAGTATAGTCATTGTTATTGTTCTTTAACAAAACAAAAAAAAAAAAAAAACGATTTCTATGGCATGAAATATTCCGGCTTTATTGATTTGATGCTTGATTTAGCATCAGAATCAAAAGCAGAGTTCTCTGCTCCGAAATGAGTGATTTCTGAGAATCAGATTTTATTAGTAGCTTGATAGGTGGGGCTTTTGTGGGACATCTGTGGAGGGTCTTTGAGGAGTGATAGGAGATATGTTTCTTAGCAATGAAGTTCATGTAGGATCACAATGAATGACAGAAGAATGAGAAAGGGCAGGAAGGGCCACAGATTATGGATATGGATTTTCAAGCATCGTTATTCTGGTTGGGAAAGGGCAACCAAAAAGTTTGAGAATCTTGATGAACAAAAAATACCGAAGTATGTATTGTAGGGAGGCACTGTTGCTAGTGTTTACTTAAGTTAATCGCTAGAAAATGAAATGTAGGTATCAGAGGTGTAATGACCATATTTTGACTTTTGCAGACACCAACATTAGAGCACCATTTGTACAGAAAAACCTATAGAAGAAACATCAATTTTAACCATCCAGTGAATTTTTTTGTAATTTTGGTTTGACGTCAAATGTGTTATGAAAAAATAATCGAACAGGAGTTTATGAGAAAAAAATGAAAAAATTAATGATTAGAAAATTAAAGGCACACACACAAACGACACAAGGATTTACGTGGTTTGGTTATGCATATGTCCACGGAAAGAAGACAGAACAATATTTCACTATGAAAATAAAGAAATACAAGGTAAAGTGACTTACACCCAAAACCCAGATACACCCAAGCTCTCTCACTTACTAACTGATATTATAAGCTTACGATGCAATTGATTTTCAGATGATTTTTTGGATCATTCAAACTATGGAGGACAAATGCTATTTATAGTCAAAATGGGACACCAAAATGAAGCTACTTGGCGACCACTCAAAAGACTTGCTGGGCCCACATTTTTGGAGAACAAAAATCTTAATGACATCATGGGTGATGCAAGCCTCAAATTGAGCCATATGTTCAACCAAATGTAATCCCAAGAAGTTGTGAATATCAAGAGATCTTCAACATGGCAATATTGCATTGTATTAAATCATACTCCCCAGAGCAACATGCATTAATAGTGGGCCCCTGTTTTCTTATCCTCGTCTATTCTCACCGGTTTTCCCTCAATAATTCTCACATAATAAAATCCTCTCCACCTACCTATTACTATCTCACTCCATCCCCAATTTTTTATATTTCTCTCACATCTCTTGATATTTTTTAACTCTTCTAATATTTGTCATATCTCTTGGTATTTTTGGACTCTTTCATATTTGTTTCCTAATACTCAAAATGGATTTGAAATTAGTATTTCGTTTTCAAGTTTCAAAAAAAAAAATAAATAAATAAAATGGATTTATGAATTTTAAATAGAAAATTATTAACTATAATTTGATATTAATATATTAACAATTAAAATACAAGTTTCAACTTTATAGGCTAAAGCCAGTAAATTTCTTCTAACTTAAGTAACAAGATGAAGCATCCGGGAAGGATCAACCATGGAAGGCAGTCAATTTTTTAGCTTGGACAAACGAACAAGTCTCTGATTTTTTTTTTAAAGAATGAGCTTATGTGACTACGGACTACGCATGAATGGTCTTTCCATGCACTACAAGACATATAGCGCACTTGGAACAATTTTATCTCAATTTCATGGTGTTTTCATGCACTTTCAAATAATCATCATATGTCAACATTCAGATTAATTTTAATCCAGAATATTGTGTCGTTGTCTAAGCAATTTGATTTCCACATTCTTTGTGTTATAGACTTATATTCTATCCATAAACATTTACACACAAACGCATAGTTGACCGTTAAGATCAACACAAACCCATAGTGAAGTTTTCGAGAGATATGTATGTGACCAGGCCTAGTTCTCTCTTCTTGAAGTCTCCTGATTCTCTTTTATTACCACCTGAGGGTCCAAATTCTGGCTATTTAGTTCTTCAAGATGAAGAATCGGAGACCCTTATGTGTTTCGGATTGTGCAAGGACCCTTACCTCCAAGATCTGCCATTTCCTCAGAACAAGGACCTAACTGTTAACTACGGATCAGATGATGAAGATGCTGCCTTCATTCCAGTTCTTAATCAGCCATTGTCTTCCAATCAATATTACGCAATAAAGCCACATGGGAGGCATAAAGGGTATGTATTAAACCACTAAATGAAACTGAATTTGACTACTTTAAATAGGTTTTCAAGGTCCATGATTGAGCTTTTTTCTTTTCTCTAATGCCACTTGACATGTTTAATGTATTCATAATCATGTTACATAGGAGGTGTCAGTATGTGTTACAAATTTCATCGTTTAGGGTCCTGAAATTGCCTATAGAAAGACTCTTTAATATTTTGGGATTTTTTTTTAGTGGTTGAAATTTGGACTCAATTTGATTTTTTGCTATTTAGTTTTTAGTGGTTAGGTTTTATTCCCTTCTTTTTGTAATTCTTAGAGATTGTTCAATTTTGAGCTTCTTTTAAGATTTACTTGTGCGGTTAGGTTTTCTTTACTCTATATACAGTATTGCAAAGCAAAATATTGATTCATCAACGATATCTCAGAATTCTCTTTTGCTTCAATTTTGTAGATTAAAAGTAACTTATTTGTACCTTTTTATAAAAGGGCACATTAAGGTGAGGCAGAGCTGAAACAGAGCACTGCTTGAGACCTTTGCAATTCGGGACCAATTAAGCGAACTAGTTTAAAAGACTGAGTTGATATTATTAATAGGTTACTTCGATTTTATTCTTAATGATCTAAACTTCTAGCTCATACACACTGCACCGGAGGCTCAAATTGTTGGGCTGCTACCAATTAATTGATTTGTTTGTCTGCATCAGCTATATAGTCAAACTTTGTCAAGTATCTGTTCTTTTTACAGGGAAGCATATACTTGTTCAACTGAGGACGACAAGATTACCTGCTGTTTCGGCAAAAGTGTTCAAGATGTAAAGCCAAGGCCATTAAATCCCCACGACATGTATCAGCCATTTGAGATTTTTCTTTACTCCAGTGATGGGGGTAGTTTCTATGCAAAATCTGTTGCACCAGATGGGCATCCTCCATACTTCTTGAGGAGAAAAGGGTGGAAAGTTTGTACCAAAACCCCCAAAAATTATGAATTGGGTGAAGCTCCAGGCCTCGACACTGCCCTTCGTGCTCGCCTTCCAGAATTCAACTTCCCTTTAGCATGTAAAATTTCTGAAGCTGTCACCATTGGCAAGTGGTATTGTCCTTTTATGTTTGTCAAAGAGGGAACTTTGAAAGAGCAGATGAAAAAATCTATGTTCTACGAGATGACACTCGAACAAACATGGGAGCAGATTTTCGAATGTGAGAACAATTATCGCGAAGGAAATACTATGTCTGTCAATGTTGTTGTTGTGAAAGAAGTCGTCTTAGTTGCTCAAAGGGAAGCTGTGTGGGATGAGAGAGAAGTGGTTGATGGGGCAATTTGGTTTACAGGTTTTGGTGGTGTAGGAGAAGATTTAAGAGTGGGCTTGAGTTTACCAATTGTTGAGAGGATGAAATGGGAGCAAGAAAGAGCTGGGTGGATCGGTGGGGAAGAAAGGCAAATGAGGGTGAAGAAAGTAGAAGAGTTTGGAGGGAATGGTGGGTGGAGAAGATTTGGTTGCTATGTATTGGTTGAGAAGTTTGTGTTGAAAAGAATGGATGGGAGTGTGGTCATGACCTACTCTTTCAATCACACACATCAGATTAAGAGCAAATGGGAATGACATTATTTACCATTTCTTTCAAAACATTCAAAAGCATCAATTTCTCTTGTTCTTATGTATATGTTAGTGTGTGATCATATACTACAAAAATTTCAGTCTATATTTTGTATTTCGTTAATAGTGATTTTTTAGGTAATTATGTTTTTGTCAATAGTGTTCCTACAAAGAATTCAGAAAGCTCCAATTTGTCTTTTTATTGTGTATATGTTCATGTTTCTATTCTGTATTATGGATGGATATGTGCAATAACATGCATAGCTGAAGATTATGTGAAAATAGATATTCTTCCCCATGCTTGATTAGGATAAGTCTTCCAACGTTCAATGACTGAAAATAATAGTAATCATACTAAGGACTCATGCAAGGGGTATTGACCCATACCTTCAGTATACAAACTAATAGAACTTCCAAGGTACATCTGCAAAAGAAATGAGGAAAGTGAGTTGCAAGATTCTGATATCAGCACTTACAAGTTAAAACCACCATTACTATTATCAGTGATGAAAGTATAGTCTTTGTTATTGTTCTTTAATGTAATAATATAGTACAGAGCTATAAAAAGGGGAAAGTATAAATGGGAGGAAAGACCTTCAGTCAAAGCACAAAAAATTCAGGATCTTTCTAGGAGATGATGAATTGGAGGTTCATTTGGAAGTTTAAATGGCAATGGGGTTCTCACAAAATTCATAATGACCGTTGTTGAAGGATTAAATGAGTGATAGAAGAATTGGAAAGAGCGTGAAAGACCATGAGGCTTTGGGATGGACTTTTGGGCATATCCTAGTAGGAAAACTGAAAAGTAACAAAAATGCAAATCATATTTTGAAGCCATAGCATTCATACCTTCGGGCTAATGGTCCAGGCGATATGAGCTCCTTCCCGAAAGAGAGGTGAGCCCCACATGGGATAGTATGGTGCGTGAGTGGGGCGTGTGTTGATTAAAAAAACATAAAAATAAAAAATAAAAAAAGATTTCAATGGCATGAAATATTCCGGCTTTATTGACTTGATGCTTGATTCATCAGAATCAAAAGTAGAGCTCTCTGCGCCGAAATGAGTGATTTCTGAGCAGTGGCGGACCCGCGCCGCGCCCCGCGGGGGCGGGGAGGGGGGGGCTTGGGTGGGCTTCATTCCCCAAAACAAAAACAAAAAATTTAATATAGGTATATTTAGCCCAATATTAAAAAAAAAAAAATTAAAATTTAGTAGTAATTTTAACCCGAATATCTAAGCTACAATTTTAAAACAGAGGCCTAACCTAATAGGCCCAAGCCTTGAACGATCACTAAGCCAAAGCACAAAGAACTCCTATATTCCTAGAGCTCATTCCTTCTCTCCCTCTAAAGTCTAAACCTATTTCCTCTAAAAAATTTCAACTCTTTAATCTTTCAACTCCCAATTCCCTCTTGTTTAATATTAGCCCCCCATTGACAATTCTTGGATTCGCCCTTCTTTCTGAGAATCAGATTTTAGTAGTAGCTTGATAGGTGGGGCTTTTATGGGACATCACTGAGTGTGAAGGGTCCTCAAGGAGTGATAGGAGAGAGGTTTATATGTATTGGTTGAGACATTTGTGTTGAAAAGAATGGATGGGAGTGTTGTCATGACCTACGCTTTCAATCACACGCACCAGATTCAGAGCAAATGGAAATGAGATTATGTTCTATTTCTTTTGAAGCATTCAGAAAATTCCAATTTATCTTGTTATTGTGTATGAGTTCATGTTTCTTTTCTGTTATTGTTCCTCCTGTAACTCTTTTCACTTTCAAGTATATGCATAGCTGAAGAATAAGTCTACCAAAGTTCAATGACAGAACAGAAAGCAAGAAGGTACAAGCAACATAATGTAATCATACTAAAGGTAGTATCGACTCATACCTTCAAAATACATAGTATTAGAACTTCCAAGGTTCATCTGGAAAGGAAAGGAGGAAAGTAAGTTGCTAAAGATTGTGATATCTGCACTTATTGTTGTGAAATTAAGTAGAAAAACAAGGAAAAACCGATCAAACTCACACAACAAAAACAGATTTTTACTTGTAGTTCACCTAAAAAACTAGAGTTAGGTTGTAGGGATTTCACTGTGATTATAAAATAAAAATAGAACATATGATACAGAATACGCTCACACTAGGGCAACATAGTAAGTGCAAAATCTACCAAACAAATTAGACCTTAAAGTACAATATTTATCAGGCTCCACACTACCCATCACTTATCACCATTGTTATCAACAATGATGAAAATATAGACATTATTGTTCTTTAATGCAATAATATAATACAGATCTCTAAAAAAGCAGAAGTATAAATGGAATAACCTTCACTAAAAGCATAAAAAAAAAGAAGAAGAGGATTTTACTAGGAGATGATGGATTGGAGGTTCATTAGGGAGTTTAAAAGGCAATGGGATTCTTATAAAATGCAAAATGGCTATTGTTGAGGGATTAAGTGAATGATAGAAGAATCGGAAAGAACAGGAAAGACCATGAGGCATTGGGCTGGACTTTTAGGCATGTATCCAATTTGGAGAATTGCAAGTAAACAAATTGCAAATCGTACTTTGAAGGGTAACGGAAAAATATTTTCTCTCTCTCCAAAAATCCCTTTTGAACTAGATTTTAGACAGTTAACCTTCTAAATTATCCAATGGTTTACAAAATATTGTTAATAGAATAACAGTAATTCAGCATTTTCAATCTGGGATGCACAAAAAATCATTGGAACCTTAGAACCGGTTGATTCCGTTTCCGGTTCCAAAAGAAGGAACTGTTAGTTTTCGGTTGCGGTTCCAAGTCCATTACAACCGAAACGAACACTAAACATATATACACATATATTATAATATTAATAAACAATAATTAATATATATATATATATATATATATATATATATATATATTCTAGTTGATACTCACACACCCATTCCTCAAGAAAGGAGGAGTGAAACCTTAAACTTACACTTTGTGAGGCACCACGGCCAAGTCACTTACCCTCTTGAGCCAACCCGAGCCAACCCCTTTGAGAGTTTACACAACAATATGTTTTTAAACTACACACAAAATAAAGTACCTTAGATAACCATCTCTAAACCCTAATGAATTTCTCTCTCACCAGTTTTAATTGCTTGTGAACCTAATTGCTCTCTCTCTCTCTCTCAAGACCCATGGACAGAGCCACTTAGGGCTGGGACATGTGCCCTCCTCAACTTTTAAAATATTAAATTTTTGTATGCAATTTTTTTTAAAATTTTAAAATTGTCCGCCTCAAAATTTAAAATTTTCATTTTGAATGTATAATTCTATAAAATTTTAAAATTGCTCTCTCAACTTTTAAAAAATTCATTTTTGAGTATATAAATTTTTAAAATTTTACATTTACCTCCCTTAACTTTTTAAAATTTGTACTATTGTATGTATAATTATTTAAAATTTTAAAATTGTCCCTCAATTTTTTTTGCATTGTGCCCCTGAACATAATTCCTGACTCCATCCCTGTTAAGACCGAATCATTGGCAAAACCTTTCATCCTTAACAATGATGGCTCAACACTATGTACGTGCAACAAATTAGGGTTTTGAATTGCATAGATGAATGGAGTGTGGACTTATCAATTTGAATCCGATTCATTTTCATCAATTTGGGGGACCCCATTAATCTCAGCAAAATAGACGATGGCACCTCCATTAAATCTTACGAGTTCATTGATGAGATAATCGATAAAAGGTACCAAGTTAAAGTCTTTGGAGAAATAACTATCAAAGATACGAATTTGAAAAAGATATATTAAAAGTTGTAATTGAATAATATTAGATTTGTAATTTGTTCTTTGCTTAGGTGAGAATTGGTTTTTAATTTTGATATGATCAAGGCTTTTTTCAAGTTGGCATCACGTCCTTAGAGCAACTCCAATGATATGACAATCCAAATTTGACACATCAACATTTTTCAAGAGTCACGTCATCATTCTCAAGAGCAACATCAGCGTTTTGGATTCTCCAAATTTTAGTTATTGCATGTACTCCAATAGTACATTTTCGCTCACCAAAAATATTAATATTTTAACAATTTTAATTTTTTTAATAATATATATTTTTTAACTTTATACCAACGGCTATATTTCTAAGATATATTATAAAAATAAATTAAAAATACAATATCATTTCAATAAAGTAAAACAATATGATATGAATTTAAAGAAAATAAATTAAGCAATACAATATCCTTTAAATAATATACTATCCATTATAAAATAAACTAATACATTATTCATTAAGTTGTTAAAATAATACAATATTCAGTAGTTGTGCAGAAAAAGTAAAAAAAGTGATTTATGGTAATCTTTTCACCCAAACACGCCCTTAAACCCAGAACTGGGCTGCTACTATAAATTGGACTGATTTCTAAAAATATACACTCCGTATGTTGCAGGCGGGGGTCCGAGAATCGCCAAATAGGTTCCCAAAAAGGGCGACTCACATAGCGATTGTAAAATAGCGGCCAATTTTGGCAACCACAATGGAGTAGATTGGGTCACCAAATTGGGTCGGATTTGCCTAATTTCCTACCATCTAAGAGATAGTTGAGGTGAATAATATGCAAATGAGTATAACTCAGGTGACTTTCTATCTAATTTTTCCTTCATTGAAACCATAGCATGAATACCAAAAAAAAAGCCTCAGCGGTATGACCTCTACACGGGCATTACTCAAAGGCGTAGTGTTTTGTTTTCGGAGGGTGTATTTGTGTTCGAGTCTATCTTTTTTTAATTAAAGAAAAAGAAAAAGAAAAAGAAAAAGAAAAACAGAACTCCACATGGAAACATACAAAAATTCGAGAAAAATGATCGATTAAGTTGGGGGCATGATACGAATTGTTGCCATCACTTGGTAAAAAAGAAAAAGAATTTTTATTTTATTTTATTGCCATCACTTAAACCGGTCCAACGTGGGTCAGAATATAAAAGATCAAAGTCCCCACTTTCATTGAACGCCGGTCCGACCGTAAACCCTAAATTTCTCTTACATCGTCCACGCAGTGTCAAAAGGAAAATTTCAATTCTGCCACTGATCTCGTTGTCTATATATATTCATCCATTTACAAACCCCGTCCCTCTCATTCATTTGCCCCCAAATACTCTCCAAAAAGCGGGAAAACAATGGCCAACAACATCGTCGATCAAGATCAACAGTGGCTCATCGACTGTTTGAATGCCACTCTTGACACCAATCACGATGTTCGATCTTTCGCCGAGGCTTCTTTGAATCAAGCCTCCCTTCAACCAGGTTTTGTTACACACTCTCTCTATATATGTATAATTATATTTTAAATGTAGTTGTTTTTGTTGGATTAAGTGGTATTTTTACAATGAATTGTTACGATTATGCTATTCAGACTTGAATTATGCAATATTGGTAAGATTTCTTTCTCATTTACACACTCTTTCTTTGTATGTATGTGCATAATTGTATTTAAATGTAGTTGTTTTTGTTGGATTATTTCGATAAATTGATATTTTATGGTGAATTTGTTACAATTATGTTATTTGGACTTGAATTATTCAATAATTTATTTTGCTGGGATTTTTTTTTTTCCCCATTTATTCTGTCTGGAATGTGAATGCTGAGTGGTACTGGAAAAGACAAATCTGGGAAAGAAAATAAAGGATAAGTTCATTTTTTGTTTGGTAGATAACACAGAGTCTTACCATAGCCAATTCAACCTTAATTTTTTTAGAAGTTCTAATTTTAGTTTCTGTCTATGGGTAACCAATTATATCATCTTCCTGTGACACATTTGCTTTTGAGGTCATAGCTATGCCTTTTTTGTTTTTCCCCCGTTTTCCAAGATTAAGTGGTAGTCTGATACGCCGACAAGTTATATCTGAAATGTTATCTGTTTAAAATTTGTAAATTTGAAGGGACTAGAATGGTAGTTTGTCTGCGAAAATGGACACCCCATAGTGGAAGCTGAAAGGCCCATATTGCTCACATCATCAATGAAGACTTGCTATATCGATATAAAATTAAACTCTTTTTTTTTTTTTTTTTTCCCTGGAAGGAATTAGCTAAATTGACCTCAAATGACCAGTTCTGTCTTCCCTAAATTAACCTTTCCCCCTCCCCCGGAAGCAATTAGCTTAATTAACTTTCAAATTTGATTCTACTTCAAAACACAAAAAGCACACATTGAAAGTATCTCAAATGACCAGTCTCTGCCTGGCAAAAGATAATAGTAACATCGGTACTCCACTTGGCCTAGGTGGATCCCTCCATCATTCGTCTTTCAACTGTCTTATCCTATGAAGCACCGACACGGCTGTGAGGGGCATCATACCGGTGTTGGTCGTGTCCACCAATTGAAAATTCGACATTGAAGCCATACAAGAATATCATTTCTCCATACTCTATCTGATCTTCCATCAGCTTCTCTATAATCAAGATTTTCCCAATACGGTTTAGTCTTCTGTGAGCATTGGCCACTATGGAAAATCTTCTGTTTTGTTCCCTTCCTTGTACTACTTCTGTGTGTGTAAACTCTTTCCTCGAAACCCCTATGCTTTCCTTCTGAACCCACTCCTCAAGTGCCCTCAAAATGTTATTTTCCCTTATATCGTAATTACACAACTCCTCTTTATTCCACTTGCTTAAGCAGTTTCGACTTCCAATTTTTTAGTGTAAACATTTTTTGGAGAATTGAAAACCCTGCAACTATCCACCACCCTTGACTGACCCTTCCAAAAGTGGCAACATATTCTCTTACTTGACGGACTTCTACCCTTTTTCAATCCCCAACTATCAATCTATAAGCATTTTTGTTGGTTTATTTTTGGTATTAGTTGGAAGGTCGTTTTTATTATTTTTTATTTTTTATTTTTTCTTTCCCTTATTGGAAATGATGGGACTGGATGGGAATAAGTACATGTTTAGGTGGCACACCTTCCTGATTGTATTTAAGTTGAATGCAAAGGCTGATTTATTTATTTGTTTATAGGGTGGAATTTGAACTGGAAGGAAAAGAATTGCCTACTTTCATGTCTAGTTTTCATATGTGACCTGTGTGAGTACTTGGATGCTACACATCAACGTGACAGTAACAAACACCAATTCACGGGAATATTGAAGCTGCTATGAATTTTTGTTCCACGTCCTATCACATATTGTTGATACCACATTATGCCATATTTTATACTGTGGGAATCAGTGGCATGTTATGAATCCAGTAATAATAGTTGAGAACTTGTAGTTCATTTTCCTCAAAGTTACATTATTTTGCTTCCAAAAGTTCATGTTTTCATTGGTAGTTGTTTTCATGAGATGCATGTCTCGTATGCACATGCCATTTTCTACTTTGTTTCTTTCGTATCAAATACCTATTTTGTGGGAGCATGTGTTTCCATGCTTAACTGGTAAGATGAGCACTGATGTATTTAGGAGTTAAAATTGATTGGTATTTCTCCAATTTATTGAAGGTTTTGGAAGTGCTTTATCCAAGATTGCTGCAAATGTGGAGCTTCCATTGGGTTTGCGGCAGATATCCTTTTCTTCATAATTGGCATGTTATTTGTCTTCCTCTTGCCCTTGCCCCTTCTCCTCCTCTTGTTTCTCTCTTCCTCTTTACAGAAGAGACAATTATTGGTCTTTCATGTTACATTCTTCACCTATTTTTAGTAAGAGAAAAAAGAATTATAGAACTTGCTTGTTTCCACTTATGCACTTCATTTGTTTTTACCTTGTAAGACTTGACATGATTTTACCTAGCTGCGGTTATTCTAAAGCAGTTCATCAAGAAACACTGGCAGGAGGATGAGGATGGTTTTGAGCATCCTGTTGTTTCAAGTGATGAAAAGGTCTTGCTTACTTTCCTTATCTATTTTAAATATTTCAGAATGCATTAATTTTTTATTGATTGAAATTTGTTTATTTGGTGTGTACATTCCAGAATTTACAAGGTTCCTTTTTCAATGATGTCATTAATGCATGGGTTTTGTAGTAAAGTTCTCCACCCGTCTTTTTAATTTTCACCTATATTCTTTATCATTTCTTCTTCTTCTTCTTAAATAAAGTTTCTACTGGACCGATCAAGGTTTACCAGAAATGAGTCCGCAAATATATTGAAACTAATATCTTGAGGTTACTGTGCAAAAGTAGGATTGGTTCTTTGAGGACCAATTTATCCTACGATTTGAAGTGCCTGGGGCACATGTTATATTTATATTTGTTGTTGAACCTCATTGTTAATAGTTTTCCTTTTACATTTGTATTGCCGCGGTGCTATTTTATCAATTTCATTTCGTTAGACTTTTTTCGGTAAATTACATTTCTTTGGACTTTGCAGATGCTATATAAGAGTTCATTTATTAAAAGTTGGAGAATAAGATTTATGAATGTTGTGGATATGGTTGGTAGTTGGATGATCAACGCTGTTGATGTGGATCAGATAATGTCTTCATCTTTCTTGTTGGAATATACATATATATATATATATATTTAAAACTGGAGCACTGGTTAGTTTGATTGCTATTTTTCTCTTAACTTTGTTTATCATTTGGAGAAAACATTGCACCCTATCCCAAACAATGAAGTGAGGTTCTAGAAATGTATGCATACAGCATGATACCGTGTTTGTATGAAGTAATGGTGGGTTAGGAGTAGGGTGGTTGATGGACTTGTGCTTGATTAAGTTAGTGTTGAAGGCAAATAAGTTTCCTTAGTGCAACAAGATATGGGGCTAGAACTTATCTATGACAAAAAAAATCTAAAAGGTTGTTGGAAATAAAATAAATGTTCTTAATGTCTCTGATTTATATTCATATTAAGTTATATGATGCTGTTGTTTATATCTAGTTGTCTATAGTTGTACTTTAACATTTAGGAATTTGTTTTTGAATATTTTTGTTGGTAATAAACAACATGAAAAATCGTGTATTGTGAATTTGTTTTTCAATCGTTTTCTATCGTCTATATAGATATTTATTTGTTTTACAGAGATTCTATCATATATTTATTTGATACTTATTCTGTATGCTTTTCTAGATAGAGGTGTGTGCTTTATGCCTTTTAACTGACTTCTTGAATTAATCCTAGTGCCCACATAATAGTTCTTTTTATAGCAGTGTTCTTCATTGCTTAAAGTGATTTTTTTGTTTTGGTTTACTTTCCAGTTCTATATTCCATGTTCTTATATACTAATTCCTTGTTGGATTTTGTCTATATGGTCATGCCTAATTTTTTGAGAACATTTTATCAGGCAACTATACGTAGACTTCTTTTATCATCATTGGATGATTCTCACAGAAAAATCTGTACGGCGATTAGTATGGCTGTGGCATCAATTGCACATTATGATTGGCCAGAGGATTGGCCTGACCTATTGCCATTCCTCCTAAAGTTGGTTAATGATGGAACTAATATGAATGGAGGTAATGTGTTAGTGAAAATTTGTTTTACTCAAACCCTTATAAATGTCTTTTGTGGATCTTGCATGTTTACTTTAATCACGTGCTGAATTTTCTTTGATATGTCTAACCTACTATGTCCAGACTCATGTGTCTTAATTTTAGTCCGTCAATGTGGTTTTTATTTAGTACCTTGATGTTTTATTTACACAGAATGTACTTTTCTAAAGGCTGGTTATTTTCTTTGCTTTAAAGATGCAAATCAAAGGTTTTCATACCCGTCTATGGTCTTCTAGTTGAACAAAATTATAAGGTTGTACCAAAAATTGGTTACTTATAGCCTATTAAAAAAGGTAATACCATATAATTTTTTATGTATATAGTTTTTTTTTTTTTTTTTTTTTTTTTTTTTTTTTTTTTTTTTTTTTTTTTCATTGGCAAGAAACACACCGTCACACCCACATGCCCCTATGGGGACTTGAACCCTCGATCTTCTCCTTTGAGAGGCGAGGAAGTACCGCTAGGCTACAACGCATTTGGTTACTTATATAGATGAATGCATATGCAATTTGAAAATGTCATCCTAGGTGGGAAATAAATTGAAATGAATGTTCATTTTAAATTCTTAAATATAAATCAGTTGACAATTCTTAAATTCTTAAATAAAATGATATGGGGCTAGGACTAGCTAGGCCTATTGTGAACAATTCTTAAATTATTTTTGAATTTATTATTTAATATTCTTTGAACTTTAAATGTGCTTTATTCAATATTTTTAATTTGTCATTTAAGTGCTTTTGTGGTCATAAAATTAGTGAAAGGTGAAAATTAGAATGTCAACTCTAATTTAAATATTTTGTCATCCATGTAGCATAAATTAGAATATCAAGTCATGAGTGGAGTGACTAGAAGAGATGGGGTCACTAATGAAAGTGTAAGAGAAAAATTAGGGGTGGTACACATTGGTGAGAAAATTAGAGAGAGTATACTTAGATGGTTTGGGCACATACACTGGATACCTAGTGACGTGCTATTCAAACGAGGAAGACCAGTTGTCATACAATGTAAGAGACGGAGAGGGCGGTCAAAAATAACATGGGATGAAATTATTAAAAATGACTTAAAAAAGTTAAATATAGTAGGCGAAATGGCACGCAATAGAAAATATGGAGAGAGAATTCATGTGGCCGACCTCATTCATATGACAGCAAGGCAAGGATGATGATGATGGGTGTAACCATTACTGTTACTTAAAACCTTGGATATCATACATAGGGACTAGAACAGGTCAAGTATAGGACAAGCCTCTCTTCCCTGTCCCTACCCTCATCTTGTTCTATATGCCTTTACATTATACTTAAATCCCCATCTTTATCCCTGGTTTAGACACGTTTATCCCATCTTTATCCCCATATGGTTTAGACACGTTGCTCCCAGATATTGGTATTTGTGTTTTTTTTCCTTTTTCTGTTTAATATATAAGACCATTTTATAACAACTATAGCAATGCCATTTGATGAATAATTATAAAACAAGGAAATTACAGTCACCTTCGCTTAGGCATGAGCTAATTAAACATGCCTTGTATTGATTCCAAAATTACAGTTACCTACCCTAAGGTTGGTTCTTTCTGATAGATTCTTGCCTCGTGTTAACCGTCGAAAGTCAAAGGATGGACTCTGCTGACGCCTCCTGCCAGCAAAATTCAATTACAGAATACCAAATTTTCACTTGTTTTTTCAATTTAACTCCACTTTTCGTCGTAAATAATATAATAACTTTTGAGGTAAAAAATAAAATACACTATCTTAGCAGCAATGAAAATGTTTAACATAGGAGCTTGGGAGGTCAATGTAATTTTTGAATCAGCAGGAGAGGCCTATGTTACTATGCTATACCTCAGTGGAGTTAGTTTAATTTACCCATTTAGAAAAAATTATTTTGTTGAAGAAGTGAGAAAAAGAAAATAAGATTAATGTTAGATATATACAGTTTGTAAATTTTAGTGATTAAATTAAATACCCTGAGCCATGCGGGTTTTCTTCTATCTCTCTCTCTATTTTTTCCTCCAAATCTGCACCAATTCCGTCCCAATAGCGTTGGCTGGGTACCCGTTATGGTTGGTAAAAGTGTCATCCCTAACAGTACATGCATGTTTCATACACACAGGGTCCAAACCCATACAATTATCAACTAAAATTGCACTATAAGTATTAGTGAGGCAATACCAACCTATCATTTCAAATACGAAAGGTTACATGTTTATATTTAGGAAGTATCTTCTTCAATTTTGATTTTTAATGAACATAAATACTTTATTCCTTGTACTTTTACTTTTCTCTTTCCCTCTTGATCTGCATATAATACAAACATTTCTTTTCTTTTCTTTTTTTACTTTTTTTTCTTGGGTATGTTTATTTATATTCATGTAGCCAACTCCAAGTAGTTGGGAAAAGGCATTGTTTGTTGTTGTTTCTTTTTGGTAAGCAACCTGCATAGTAACACAAGACCCAAAAGACTAACTGCAATACTATATGTATGAATACTTTTAAAAATTTATTGGTGTGTACACAAAAAATGTATTTGCTTAGATATTTGTGTCCTAATGTGTTCACGTATGCTCATATATTGTATATATAGAAACCAAGTGGGATTTGCAGCTCCATTAATGTGTTAGTGCATTCTTGTTCTTTATTGAAATTTTCAGGACTGTTGTCTGAGTGCTAATTTGCTGTTGCTGTGCAAATTGTTGTTAATGAGCCTGTTGTCATGGGGGTGGTTTTAGATGAGTTGCTGTGCAGTTGGATTTGAGTTTTGTTCTCAATTGTGCAGTACATGGGTCTCTAAGATGCTTGGCTCTTCTCTCGGGGGACTTGGATGATAAAATGGTGCCACCGTTAGTGCCTGTTTTGCTACCATGCTTGCATAGAATTGTATCATCTCCTCAGGTTAATTCTGCTATATTATCTTGCATTTTTGTTATCAACTCTTAAAACTCTGCAAAGTAATGTTGTTGTTGTGATTTTATTGGCTGCTGCTTTTTAAAAGTGATGGGTTGGATGCAGTAATTGCTTGTTGTGGGCAGGGCATTCTGCAGTTGAGGACTAAGGTTAAGAGGCTTGGAGTTGTTGAAATTAGCTCTCGTACACACACACACACACCCAACCTCATTCATGATAAATTATTGATAATCATCTTGATTAATATAACTGCTTGTGGTATTATGAAAACTTCACCTGATTTTGCAAACAAATTGGTTGAGACTAATTTAACTTTACACAATTTATTCAGTTATTGGCGGAGTTAACCACACTTCCTGAAATTTGAAAGAAACCTCTCTCTATCAATTTTAAGGTGGTTGCTAGATGTATTAACTCTCAAATTTCTTCACGGTCTTGTGTTAAAGATATTCAAAATGTTTATGATATGTATTAGCTTGGATTGGACCTCCTTGGTCCTATCATGTTTGATAGGGGAGGTCTTTATTTTCTTTAGGATGTTTGATATTCTTTTTTCCCCCTTAAAACGATCTCTTTTAATTCCTAAAAACTGTGGACAGTAAAGAGATGTTAAAAAGAAGAAACCATCCCAGAACTATTAGTCTCTTGCTGATGTTATATAAGCATGCATTTCTTATTTTAATGTCTCAATTCATTGTGAGTTTCTTTTATGCAGATATATGACAAACCATTACGCACAAAAGCTCTTTCAATTGTTTATTCTTGCACATCTATGCTGGGGGTAATGAGTGGTGTCTATAAGGTATTTTCTTGACACAATTTTTTTGTTGGGTTAATGAATGAAGTTTTTGGCCACTGATTCTTGAAGCCTAAATAATTCGCAGTGGGTTAATCTATTTTGGTTTTATATGAAATGACTGTTCTAGAATCTTATGTGTAGACAGAAACCAGCTCTTTAATGTCACCTATGCTTCAACCATGGATGGATCAGTTCTATGCTATTTTAGAACATCCAATGCAATCGGAAGACCCTGATGATTGGAGCATCAGAATGGAGGTTGAAATATTGTTTTTGTTTATCAACATCTTGCGTTATGTGTGTATAAAGTATAAACTAGAATGGGCATCTGATTGTAATATCCCGTTCAACATGTCATCATCAGGTTTTAAAGTGCTTGAATCAGTTTGTTCAGAATTTCCCAAGCCTTATGGAAACACAATTTGTGGGTAAATTTGCGACTTCGTCTTGCTCAGTTTATCATACTTACCCTCCAGTTAACTTTAAGTTCTGCTGATTGACTTTTTTCAGTTTTTCATATTTTGTTCCTCTATGGTACTATGCTGTTCCAGTGATTGTGGGGCCAATATGGCAAACATTTGCATCATCCCTTAGAGTATATGAACGCTCGTCAATTGAAGGTGCGGAAGATTCCTACGAAGATAGATATGATTCTGATGGTGCAGAGAAAAGTCTTGAGGCCTTTGTTATCCAGGTAAATATGCACACAACTTTCGGAGATATTGGCCCTTTTTTGTTTGTAGTATTGAAATGCTCTAATGATGATTCATTACATTAGGCAAAAAAGGATTTCATTTATAATTTTTTACCTGGTAGCCTTTTAGCAAAGGGTAGATATTGAGGGTTTTTATCAAATACATATGCAAGTATATGTTTTTTTTTTTTAAACTTATTGCCTTTAACGCCGGCTGTCATAACCCGTGGAAATCCTACAGATTGAAGATACTTTTATTTTATAGAGATCCCTCGACTACCCCCACTTGTTTGTGTGATAATGAGAGAAAGATTCTCCACAAATAGGAAGTCTCTAGTTTCACTTGTCTCATATAGGCGTGACTGGCTGTGGAGCTGGGGTAGAATCCTAAAGCAGAATTTGTAGTATCTACGCTGCTTACTTCAAGATTGGGCCCTGCGCTGTGTGTAATGAAGATAATAAAGTAATAAAGTATTTATTATTATTATTTTTTCCAATTAACATAGCAGTTAACATTGCAGCAAGACAGCAAACTGATAAACAGAATTGTAATAATCAAGATTCAAATATTATATCATTTTTTACAAAATCTTACAGCAAGGAAAATTTCAAAAATATAAAATATAAACATTCTGAAATTTCAGTAATAAAATTAAAGAAGAGAAAAATTACAACACATGGTATACACAAGTGGAAGAAGAAATTTTAAGAAGTGAGAACAAAAACAAAAGGAGAAGAAGAAGAAAATAAAAATGAGAGAACATTGAAGGAGAAAAAAATAGTGTTTGATTGAAGAGGGGGAATACAAATTTTGAGGGGGGAGTACAATTTTTTTTGATGGGAAATAAAGAAATTAGAAGAATAAGAAGAATAGGAAGAAGAAGAGGAGTAAAAGAGGAAGAATAAAAAAAAGAGTTAAGAGAGATTTTTAGAAAAAAGAAATTTTAAAGGTGCATTTTATAAAATTTTATAATTATATAAACCTAAAGGAAAAACAACTAAAGCTTGTGGGGCCAGCTCGGGGGTGCACATGCCCCCCAAACCTTAATTGGCTCCATCCCTGTTTACAAAGGTGATGCTCATGCTCTGTTATTATTATTTTTTTTTCATTTTTAAGCATGGGTGGATGGAAGCTGAGCTTCTGTTTAAATTGAGTGGTGGAGTTAGGGTTTTGGATATATTTGTATATTCCTGGGGTATGCCCCTTATATATTGTATTGTTACTTTGAGCCTTGTTTATACACACACATGCACACTGAGACATTCACACCCACTTGCGAAAAAAAAAAACAGAAGAAAAAATCTTGAGTGTTGGAAGCTACTGATAAGTGACAACCCCTAATGCATAAAGGATGGCCAGCTGAGAAAGAATGGGGCAATTGTGATGTGAGCGGTGAGCATGCCTTATTTACGAGTTTGGTTGTGTATGATTGCGTTAGTCATCTGCCATAGCCCATAAGGTAGCTAGGGCATAAAAAACCTATCAGCTTGGTTTCTCTATTTTTCATGAGTGGCTGTGATGCATGCTCCAGAGGTGATTGACCCTTCCCAAAATTCTCTACAAGTCATATAGTTGCCTTGTTTAGTCATGCTAGTTCAGAGTGAGAGAGGGAGGGAGGGAGGGTTTAATATGTAATACAGGGAAATGATTCTGAGATTCAGCCGTGATTCAATACGTGGTCTGTTTCAAAATATGTGTATGTATTTTTTTTACCTGTATCCCAAAAATTCAGGTTCTTGCCTTCTTTCCCCCGCCTTTCCCCCGCCCTGTGTGTGAGTGGTTAATTTCTTACATGTTAAACTCACTTCGGTTTTGGCTTTTGATCAGTTAATTTCTTACATATATCTCAATGTGCAGTTATTTGAGTTTTTACTGACCATTGTGGGCAGTGCAAGATTGGTAAAGGTTTGTTCCAAAATCTCATTCTTAATTTTGATCTGCATTGCTTGTCCTGTCGGCATTGTCTTCTCACATGGTCTATTGATTTGGTTACCGATTAAAAATTATTGTTTTTGTAGGTTGTTACAAACAATCTGAAAGAGTTTGTGTATTACACTATTGCTTTTCTGCAGATGACAGAACAACAGGTAATGTGTCTTTGCCTGTTATATGCTTCGTACATGTCACTATATGTAATGTGCTTTCTGCTTCAGCTGCATTTTTTGTAGTTTTATTCATGCATAGTTTTCCTGATTTGTTATTGCTATTTGTTACAGTTTAGGAATTATGGCCAAATTGCCACTCTATATAGCATAACCAAATGTACCAGATTTTCTTCTTAAGAATAAGAGAAAAGTTGTATCTTTTTCCTGTTGATGCATTGATCTTGCAATACAATTAAATTTGCTAAATTAAGAGAGGAGAATTAGAGAGTTTGATCAAATTAAGTGCATCAAGGATCAAACAGTCTTGGTGAAAAGAAGATGAAAGGGGAGAAATGTGAATAAGTTAATTTGAATGAAGTTAAATTAAAATTGCATTGGGAACTTAGGTCTAGAAGAATATATGATAATCTTAGGGACATTAGAAAACAATTTTTTTCTCAGGCTAGGATATGTGAGGTAAAAAAATGCGTTGAGGATAATGAAAATATATAGGGTTTAAGATCGGATGGCATTCCTGTTGAGACTTTGAAGTGTTCAGGTGATGCTGTATATTGTCTTCAAATTAATTTAACCAGTTCATAATAATTAAGAAAATACCTATGCGTAATAATAAGTGGCACGCAAATATTTAATACCTATGCAAGAAAAAAGGGGTTTCTCAAAATTCTACAAATCTATCGCAATATTCAGAACTTTTGGAGAGAGTGTTTGAAAAATTACCTAGACTTCAAGTTTTGTGTTGGAAAATTAATTTTGATTTATGCTGGAGAGGTTAACAACACAAGTTATTTACTTACGGAGGAGATTAATGGAAAAATGTTTTATGGACATTAACTCCCTCCAACCGTATATACTAGTTGTTGGAAATTAACTCCCTCTTCATTCAAACACAGCGGAAGCCTATCATCACACAACATATATGGAGTTACAATCATACATCAATCAAGCACAACACAATATTTGTTCACCCAACCTCTAGGGCTACGTCCAAAGAACTTTCACTATTATGAATCAAGAAGAGATATTACAAGTAGAGAACGCACCAAACCCAATCCCATAAGAAGTCTATCTACCAACCAACCTCACCGGCTCTTTTTGGGCACACTGAGCAAACCCGCTCTTCATTTCAGGTTAAGAGCAAACCCATTTCTTATGAGGCTACATCCCTCTCTTCTCACCCATTCTCTTCTCTCCTCACCCACTTAACCCTTTTCTCTTCTCTCTACCTTCTCCACCCATCTTCACCTCTATTTATAGAGCCTTCAATACATTCCTTCTTGAACAAGGATTCCCATACCTTGTCTAACAAGAAGTTACCAAATCGATCACAACTTTAAAGCAGAAGAGACAACTTCCTTAATTACAAAGAAACAACTTGCCCTACAAGTCTGCAGCCTCGAGGAAAGCAATTCTTCAAATAAGGAAACAAATCTCGCACATTAGGCAAAGTGTGACCTGTCGCACTTCTCCAGAACAGCATTCTTCCACAGCCGAGAAAGTGCGACCCGTTGTACTTTTTCAGAACAGTCATGTTCTTAAGTTCGGTAGCTTGGGCTTTTGCAATTGACCAAGCAATGGCCCTTGCGAAACATTCTTTCATGTCATTGAAAGTTGCTAAATATGTTTCTTATTGAGTTTCACACCTGGTTTCTATGCAGCTTTATATTCAAATTTTATTGAGACCGAAAGAAGGGGATGATGAAATAATTGGGGCAATGGAGGAAACTTTTGAAGTAGTTGACTAAACAATTTAAACAAGTGGAGTTTAAACCTCATATTTTTTGGATAGAACTTGATGTAAAAATGATTATGAAAAATAGAACTTGCTCTTTGTAACAAAGCACTGGGGTTAGATAAAGATAGGGTCGAAATGATCCACCCATATGTTTTTGTGATTTGAGTTCCAAAGATATTTTGGCTCCTATAAATCTTGTGGCCTAAGTGCGTGCCATGTTCCATCCTTAAAGGCCTCCATATTCTCGCATAGCATTTGTGGGCAGATGAGGTTATGAGCTATCCATTTTCCAAGGGATATGAGTCATATGAATAGTCTGAAATCGAGTAGAAGGGTTTCTGAAGTTAAAATGAGAAGAAATTTTTACAATAGTTGTATCTTTCAGAATATATACGTGGGTCGCAAGTCTTCTTCTTGTAATGTTGTTTGGGCCTCAAAGATGGTACGCAAAAATAATACTGTAGAGTTGTTCAAATCAAGAGTCAAATGGGATCCCATGATTCTTGTGATTTATCATGATTCCACAAGGATTCCACCCCCCTGGAATATTTATGTGATCCGTGTCCATTCATTATTTTTCGATTCCATGATTGTAGGATATTGGGATCAAAATAGAGATATTAAAAACCATGGACTGGGCTTCTGTGCTCTTTATGAGTTGTGAATTTTAGTAAAGCCATCTACACACTGGATATTTTCTTCTCTTGATGTGGTCATTTCTATCCTCTTAACTGCCGCTTAATGTATATATGTAATGCTTCTTTACATTATAAAATGATGGATCTCTGTTTTTTGTTGTTACTTGTATTTTTATTCTTCAATTTAGTGGCTTCATTTTCAATTTCTTATTCCTGTTTTTTTAATAAATATTTCATAAAACCATGTGTGATGTGTCTAGGTTCAAACTTGGTCACTGGATGCTAATCAATATGTTGCTGATGAGGATGATAGTACTTATAGCTGTCGTGTTTCTGGTACGTTGTTTTTGAGAGATTAGCATGTTATGTTACTTGTATATATGTAGACCTGGTCATTGATTTCAAAATAAGGTTTCAATTGTTGATGTCAGAAATTGTTTCTCTCTCTCTCTCTCTCTCTCTCTCTCTCTCTTACCTTTCCTTTTCTCAAAGGGGAAGATTTTCATTTCATGGTGATTTTGAGTTACAATGTGGTCAATAAAATTATTTTATGCAGAACAGTTTTGCAGTTTTTATATTGAAACCTTATGGACATTTCAAAAGTTTTTGTTGTCCCATATAAGGAATATAGATCATGTTAGAGGTGTTAATGAGACATATATTATGCATAGACACCATCTGGAGTAAGAAAATAACTTTGTATGATAAGCACATCAAATAATTACATAAGTAATAGAGGGTGTGTTTGGTATTATAATTAATTCGGTAATTGAAGTGCAATTTGAATCTGATGTACCTGCATCTTGTTAACTTATGGAATTTCCAACTGTATATTGTTGGTGTAGATTGTCCCTGTGTGCATGACAAGATTTTTTTGTGTTAGTTTTAATTGTTGCATGTTGAATTATGGTGCTCAAGGAGTGTTGACCCAAAAACTTATCTTTCTTTCAATATTGAGAAACTGATTCCCTTTTAGCTGATGGGATCAATCACATGGGTGCCAAAAATGGGTAAACTTCCTTTCTTTTAATTTTATTGTAGGCCAACATAATATAAAAACAGCATAAACCAAATCCCATAATAATCACTTCCATAGAAGGCTTCCATCTCATTGTTAATTGCTATATATTTTTCGTTATAATAGTAGTCAGTGTCAGTATATGTACACACACACAGATAGAGGAAAATACAATTCAAAAAATGAGAAATAATCAGGAAGCATACAGCAGCAAGCACACATCTTTGCGGTCTTTCTAAACCTTATTATATTAAGGCTGTGTCTGCCTTTAGGGTACATCCTACCCTAATCTTGAGTTTTGACCCTAGTTTTTGGCAAAAGGAGGAATCTTTCTTAGACTTGGTTCACCATCAGTTTGCAAACCGCAGGGGGGTGCAAACTACTGAAGGCCTGTCCAGGATGTTAGTCAGAACCGGGTAAACATAAGTCACAATTAGAATAATGGGAGTTCGCTGGGATTGTAGTGGTTTTGTTTTCCCAGAAGTGTTGGTTCGAATCCAGTTGTGATTTTTTTTTTTTCGTTAAAAACTTTCTCAATGTTTTCAAAATTTATTTTTAGGAAAAAGTTTTGATTGGGAAAAATATATCATGCCTTGATGAAACAAAAACAAAAAAAATGTACCATTTAAGTAAATAAAATCTTCTAATCTTTAACAAAAAATAATTTTTTAATTTTTTTTTTTTTGATAAGTAAACAAAAAATAATTATCAAGAAGCAAATAGAGAAATTTTAGTAACTTACACGAATAGTGGCTTTTGAAATTTTCATTTAACAAGCTACATCTGAAAATATTAGCATTTATGATATCATTGTTGTTGGCATTCTTGTTTTCTTGGTTCTATAACACTTTAGTTTTCATTCCTTTCCAATGGAGTATCAGCATATAATTCTCGATATTTGTCTTATTATTATCATTTAACGAAAATGTTTGACAGGGAGGCTTCGTAATAGTGTGATTTGCCCTTTTTTTTTTTTTCTTTTTCTTTTCTTTCTTTTTTTTTTTCTCTCTTGAATTCATATAATGGATATTGCACGTACGAGTATGCAATTGTGAATGAAGTACTGATATATTGTAGCAATGACTTTTTTTTTCTGTTCAAGAAGATTTGGACTTTAAAAAATAAGGCTAAAAATGTTCAAGTTGAAATTTTCTTTGTCATTTGGGGGGGACAATAGTTATGTTTATTTCTAAACTCACTATTTTTAATGAGTTTGAGGGACCAAAAATTAGGGTTTTTTTTTTTTTTTTTTTCAAGTCACTGCTTTTGAGTGGTTGTAAATAAGATTTTTAATTTTAATTTATTTTATTTTGGGGGGGGGGGGGGGGGGGGGGTGTGTTGTTGGCAGGCATGCATAGCTCCACCCTTGCTACTAGCCACACTAATGGGAGACACCATACTTTGGTGCCATGATGAAAGACAATAACTTTGGCAGGCAAAAAGAGTGATATACAACCAAAGCAATTTCGGGAAAGATGTTATTATCGCTAAACCTTGTTGACTAACTTTTCAAGGATTCTGTTCGTCTATTTGAAAATAATCTAGGAACAACTCACTGTCATTACATGTCACTGCAGAGGACAAAGAATTAGGTACTTCTGGTTGTTTGTTGACCATATGTTGAAACTCTATGGTTGCTAATTGAAATGGTTGGAGGAAGAAAGTTTGACTTGAAAGTTTAAATAAAAATTTTCTTCGTTGAGCAAGCATGAGATTCATTTGGCAGAATTATCTGATCATTAAGATGCTGACATTTGCTGTTTTTTGAACTCTTTTTATCTATCTTGAGTTTGAAAATGGTTTTTTATCTGTATTTGAGCTAGTAACTTGGTTTACTATTACAGCATAGTAGCTTGAAATACTTATTTCTCATTAAAATGTTCTCTATAAAATAGGTTCATTTACATTTTACTATAAGCTATTGGTGAACCAAAATGTAGTTTATGTGTTGTCTTACCTTCATTAATAGGAACATGACCTAATTAAATTTGTTTTTATGTTATTATCTCATTATCCAGTTTGGATACTGAGGGATTTCATTGATACGGAGGGATATCATTGTTGAATATTGGCAATTTTATTTATTTATTTATATTTTGTACTATATTTGGTTTCAATTTTTTTTTTGTTGCACTCTTTTGACTGTAACATTTTATGTCTTCAGAAATACACAGTTTCTTATTATTTTTATTCGTTTGAAGTCTACTGGGGAGTGGGGATAAAGTAGTACTCTTTCCTATAATTGATCAATATTGTTCTTACAGGTGCCCTTTTACTGGAAGAGGTTATTAATTCTTGTGGAAAAGAAGGAATTGATGCCATAATTGATGCTGTGAAAAAAAGAGTCAGTGAGTCTCAACAAGAGAAAGCTACTGGTTCTGCTGTCTGGTGGAGAGTAAGTTAAAGAAAATTTTTAAGATGGACAACTGTATGAAACATTTTCATATGAGGTGGTGTTGCACTGCATTAAATTTGCTAACGGTGTCACTACAATACATTTGTTAACTGCGTTTGAATGTCTTGCATATGGAATGACTTCTGTGATGCTATCTCAGCTATTCAAGAATTTAGATAGGGTTTTAAAGGAACCTGCAGTGGTTGCTGTTGTGGCAGAAAATAAAGCAATTTCATTCTAGAGAGAGGAGTTATGTTTTATTTCAATGGTGAAATCTGAACATGGACTGATGATAAAGATAAGTTAATGAATAAATTGGGGTTTATAATTTTGTGATTTCATCGTCCCGGCAAGTTTAATAGGCTAGCATGTAAAAATATATGTTTCTGCCAGGGGCCTTTTGCATGATACCTTTTTCCTTTTAAATGTTCTAATAGAAGAAAGAAAGAAAACGTTCAACCATCCTATTTTTGGCTCTATAAATTTTATATGAGCTATTGTGAATCCTAAACTGCCTTATTTTGTTGTTTTGTGACTTATTATTGCTTTCAAAGGCTTCACTTATGGTTTGTATTATATGAGAGGTATTCTATATTAAGAGTGTTATCTTCACTCTAATGTTCTCTTTCTAGTCTTTTGATAAGTAAAATATGGCAGATAAGGGAGGCTTCTCTTTTTGCTTTGGCTTCACTCTCAGAACAATTGCTAGAATCAGAGGTCTGTGCATTATTCCATAAATTTTTGTTATTAAGAAGCACTTTTTTCTTTCTGAAAGCAGTTTAGTGTCATTTCTCTGTCGATACTCCATTGACTTTTTTTATATTACTGAATTCATTTTTACAGGACTCTGGATTAGACAGAGTTAGTTTAGGAAACTTTCTAGAGCAAATAATTACTGAGGACATGGCAACAGGTAGTTCTTATTTTCCTAAATTGCTTTTAGATTGTTGATATCTGGCTAAAATTGGTGTTATTGTCTGTTGTGCAGGTGTACATGAATATCCCTTTCTTCATGCTCGTATGTTTTCAGTAGTTTCTAAGTTCTCCTCTGTGGTAAATATCACAATAATTCCTTATTGTTATTATGCTTTTGTACTTATGCAATGCAGGAACTTCTCATTGGATTTCTATTCTTGTGCAGATCAATCTTGGAACTGTCGATCATTTTCGCTATGCTGCCATTAAGGCAGTTGGCATGGATGTGTAAGAATTATTATTATTTATTAATCTGTGTGTATTTTCATAGCTGATTTAAAACAGAATGGGCTAGTGGTGACAATGTTCTGCTCACAGGCCCCCACCTGTGAAGGTAGGTGCCTGTCAAGCACTTTCCCAGCTTTTACCTGATGCAAACAAAGGAATGCTTCAGCCTCATTTAATGGGTTTATTCTCCTCACTTACAGACCTTCTCAATCAAGTAATGTACTACGACTAAAAATATTCCCTAGTTTATTGTTATAGAAGTTACATCTAACAGTTACTGTTACCCTGCTTCTAGGCATCCGATGAAACCATGCATCTGGTACTCGAAACATTGCAAGAAGCAGTGAAGGCAGGTTGGTATCAGTTGGGTATAAACGGTCTTGTGAATTTATTGTAAATCTAATGTTCTTGTGTTTTAGCTACTCTAATGTTATTTAATTTTTTTATTTTTACCGATTATCAGTCTCCTTGTTTTCTCTTTTGCTTACTATATGTAGGTCATGAAGCAGCAGCATCGATAGAGCCCATTATCTCTCCGATTATCCTTAACATGTGGGCTTCACATGTTTCAGACCCTTTTATTAGCATTGATGCAGCTGAGGTTCTAGAGGTATGTTGAATGTTGTTGGTAGATGTGATGTTTGGTGGAATGCTTAATTTTCTTGTAATCTTGTTTGGTATTACATTCTGATAGTTTTTATTTTTTATTTTTAATGCTACATTTTGCACGATTCTGTCCTTGCATTAATAAGTGATCAATTGCTATTTAAATTAGATTGCTGAGGTTGACCAACTGAGTCTTGAAATTTTCTTTTGAAAGCAATTATTTTTCTTCCTCTTGCCTTGGCCCTCTCTCTCCTTCTCTGTTGTGTGCTATCTCAAGTTTGTTCTCAGATTATATAAAATGATCTTATCTACATTGGACTGCTAGTGTCAATTTTTGTCATAATGAAATATTTATATTCATATAAACCGAAGTGAGTATGTTCATATTATGGAGAACTTTTGTTTTTCTATTCACTTTTGTCATTGTATTAGTTATGAAATATTGCTTGCTAAAAGTGTGATGGGAGCACATGGACTGAAATATGAAGCTGTTTAGGCGAGTTAGCTCAAGGACTGTTAACAGATGCTTATAGCAAGGATTGACTGCCAGTCTGCCACAAATCTTCTCCACCTCTGACTGGTTTGTGTGGCACAGTTGAAACAGATGATGGTTGATGAGCACATATTAATTCTGAACTAATACAATTTTAAAGTGGATGTTATTATCCTCTGCTTTCTTGCTGTATTGAGGTTTTAACTCTTTACTGTTCAAAAAATCATCTTTCTGTTTGTTTGTTTATTATTACTTTTTTCTCTGGCCAGGCAATAAAAAATACTCCTGGTTGTTTGCATCCCCTGGTTTCTCGAGTTTTGCCATATATCGGGCCAATCCTAAATAAAGTACGGCTTGACAACCTTGCCTTAAATAAATGGCATTCAGAATATACTTTTTTAGTTCAGATTTGTCACTTTCTGGTCCTCTTGATATTTGTCAGCCCCAACAGCAGCCAGCTGGTCTAGTTGCTGGTTCATTGGATATTGTGACAATGTTATTAAAGGTGCATTACACTTGGCATAATGCTTATAGTCTATTTTTCGTTTCATTTTATTGGTTAATCAGCTTCTTACATTTACCAACTTTGTTTTTTCGAGATGTTTCTGATAACATTGTTTATTTATATCATTCAGAATGCACCTAGTGACATTGTTAGAACAGTGTTTGAAGTCTGTTTCGATCCTGTTGTCCGTATAGTTCTTCAAGGTGACGATCATAGTGAAATGCAGGTAATCTTTTGCTAGATGCATATGATTCTTCTGTGTTTTTTTGGGAGCAGGTGCTAGCATGTTTCCCTTTGCTTTTCCTTTTTTATTTTATTTTATGTAATTGTCTCTTTTGTATGTTGAGTATAGTAATCACGTATTATTTTTTTATCATGTTCACCAGAATGCAACCCAGTGCTTAGCTGCCCTTGTATCTGGCGGAAAACAAGAAGTGCTAGCTTGGGGTGGTGATCCTGGATTTACAATGAGAAGTTTGCTCGATGTAACTTCAAGGTTTTCTGGTTACCCTTACACACACACACACATATTATATAATCCTTTTGGAAAGCCCAAATTCCATCTGTTAGTTTTTTCACAATTTCTACTTACTGACCAATCATAGGTTCTTGCTACATTGCTTTTGTCTTTTCCTGTGTGTTTTTCCTTGGTCTTTCAGTTGTGTTTTGGTGGGGGGGGGGGGGGGGGGGGGGGGGGGGGGGGTGGTTTGGGGGAGGGGGAATCGTTGGGGGTGGTGGGGATGGGGGGGATGCTGAGCTCTTATTCTTCATTAACATAAATACCTATCAAATTGATTGTTGCAAAGTCATGATCATAGGAACTACTTGTTCCATACCTTCATTATGTAATACTTGCAATAGCCCCTAGGGACTTTGTTTTGTACCAAACCTGCCAAACAAAGTCCTATTGTCCTAACAAATACTAAACTTACATGGTTGGTTATCTAGTTGGCACGACCACAAGAGCATGATAATAGTTTTAAGTAGGTGAATTGGCATCATATAACCATTAACCAGATGGAACTTGTTATCTGTCATTTTCTTTTTCTTTCTGCTAAAGTTTATTAGATATGTTAGTTTACACAAATGCTTCAAATGTGGAATTGAAGATTTGTATATAGAGAGAATAGAGATACACAGAGGGGGAGAGAGAGAGCTCTAACAGAGACTTGTATGAGGCACCTCTCCTCACTCTAACATATTCTAACCCTAAAACATAAAAGGGGGTTATATACAATACAAGAAAGGCCTAATTACATAATGGCCACAAACCCTGTATCTAATTACACTGACCCCAGCATAAATACATATATACATAAGTGATTTAACACTCCCCTTCAAGCTGGAAAATATATATCATATAATCCCAGCTTGGAACAAATCGTTTTTAACCGATTATGACCAAGAGCCTTAGTAAACATGTCTGCTAATTGATCTTCAGACTTCACGAATGGAGTAGAAATGTTTCCACTCAATATTTTCTCTCGAGTGAAGTGACAATCAACTTCAATGTGCTTCGTTCTTTCGTGAAATACCGGATTGGATGCAATGTGAATAGCTGCTTGGTTATCACAGAACAGTGGAATAGGAGTCTTGACTATTAACCCAAGTTCTTTAAGAAAATGTTGTATCCATGTTAGCTCACTCGAGGTATGGGCCATTGCCCTGTCTGCTTCAGCGCTAGACCGTGCTACAACTGTTTGTTTTTTACTTTTCCATGTGACAAGGTTTCCACCAACAAATATACAATAGCCTGTAGTAGATTTCCTATCTGAGGGAGAACCAGCCCAGTCAACATCTGTGAAACCTGTCACATTGAGATGACCATTAGATTTATATAGTAATCCAAAACCTGGAGCTTGCTTGAGATATCGAATAATTCGAAGAATAGCATTCCAATGTGGTACTCTAGGAGCACTCATGAACTGACTTACAACACTAACTGCATATGAAATGTCAGGTCGGGTGATAGTGAGATAAATTAATTTCCCAACTAGACATCAATATCTGCCATGGTCGTCAAATAAATCACCCTCATTAGGTAATAATTTTATATTTGGGTCCATAGGAGCACCAGCCGAACGAGTACCTAACATACCTGTTTCTTTTAACAAGTCAAACACATATTTCCTTTGAGATAGACTTATACCTTCCTTGGATCTAGCAACCTTAATACCCAAGAAATATTTGAGTTTGCCTAGATCCTTTGTGTGAAACCGATTCTGCAAGAACAATTTTAACTTTGCAATGCCGTCAAAATTATCACCTGTTATAACAATATCATCTACATATACCACAAGAAATATAAAGTCAGTTTTACTATGCTGGTGAAATACCAAATGATCTGTCTGCATCTGTTAAGACCAAAGGAAAGTACTGCCTCCGAGAATTTTCCAAATCAAGCCCTTGGAGATTGTTTCAATCCGTACAGGGCCTTTTTAAGACGACATATAGCATAACGAGACTCCCCCAGAGCAACAAATCCAGGTGGTTGCTCCATGTAAACCTCTTCATGTAAATCACCATGTAAGAAAGCATTTTTCACATCTAATTGAAATAACGGCCAAATTACAATTGGCGGCAATGGAAATAAGGATTCGGATAGAAGAAATCTTCGCAACAGGGGAAAAAGTCTCATCATAATCAATACCATAGGTTTGTGTATATCCCTTTGCAACAAAGTGAGCCTTCAATCGCTCAATAGATCCATCATGGAGATATTTGACAGTGTAGACCCATATACAACCAACCGTTTTGGACCCGGTAGGTAAGGAAACAAGATCCCATGTCCCATTATGATGAAGAGTATCCATTTCATCGATCATGGTTTTGCACCAAGCTGTATCAAAAAGAGCATCCTGCACAATTTTCGGAATAGTAGTAGCAGATAACGTGGATAAAAAAAAAAAAAAAAATGAGGGCGATACATTTTTATAGGAAACAAAGTTAGATATGGGGTGTGCAGTGACACAAGAACGAATACCCTTGCGTAATGCAATAGGAAGATCATCAGTAGCAGGAGGAGCCTCAATGGAAGTAGACAATTGGGGGGTAGCTACTTGTGGTCGATGACTATACACCTGAAGTGGCGGTGGCACTTGAGGTGGTTGTGGTGGGTCATAGGGTAATGAATGGGACACAACAGGCAACGAAGCAGCAACTCGGTATCTAAAGACGGACTATGTGAAGAAAAATAAGGTGTATCCTCAAAAAAGGTAACGTCCATGCACACAAAAGCACGACTAGTGCTAGGATCCCAACATTTATAACCTTTTTGAGTCCGAGAGTATCCAATAAAGACACACTTAATGGCACGAGGAGACAATTTATCAGTGCCAGGGCGTAATATTTGAGCAAAACACATACACCCAAAAACACGAGGCGGCAATGCAAATAACGGTCGAGTAGGAAAAACAAAGGAATAATGACGTTTCCAATTAAGAACGAAAGATGGCATACGATGAATTAAATAACAAGCAATTAAAACAACATCGCCCCAAAATGCTTTTGGAAGATGCATATGTATCATTAATGTCCAAGCTATTTCAATTAAATGCCTATTTTTCCGTTCGGCAACGCCATTTTGTTGAGGAGTATAAGAACAAGAAGTTTGGTGCCAAATGCCACGAGAGTCGCAAAAACTAGAAATAGCACCTTTGACATATTCCATGGCATTATCAGATTGTAAAGTGCGTATAACACAAACAAATTGGACCTTAATTTCTTTGAAAAATATTTGAAATATGGACAAAAGTTCAGAATGGTCTTTCATTAAAAACAACCAAGTCATCCTTGAATAATCATCAACAAAGGTAACAAAATAAGAAAAACTTGAGTGACTAGTTTGACGAGCAGGACCCCAAATGTCCGTATGCACTAATTCAAATAAAGAAGATCGACGATTAACGATATGAGGAGGGAAAGGCACTCTATGGTGCTTACCCAGCTGACACGACTCACAATTTTAAAGTAGACACCAACTAAAGGAAAGGCAAAGTAGACTTCAAATACCGCAACGAGGGATGACCTAACCGATAGTGCCACTGGTACACAGACATCTGGGAATGTAAAGCAACAGTGGAAGGTTTGCAATCCAAATAGTATAGGCCATTTCTGTTACTGCCCCCGCCGATCATTTGTTTCGTGTTGAGGTCCTAAAAGACACAAGATGAAGGATAAAATGTGACAAAACAATTGAGTGCTTGAGTTAATTGACTTACAGATAATAAATTAAAGGGAAAATTTGGAACTAATTGCACAGAGGATAAAGAAATGGATGGGGTTAGTTTAATTGTTCCCTGGCCAATAATGGAGCATCTTCCACCATCATCCAGAGTAACAAAAGATGAGGAACTAGACTTCTGAAAATTAGAAAATAGAGAGATATCACCTGTGAGATGGGTAGAAACCCCAGAGTCAATAACCCAAGGGGATGCTGAAGTCTGTAAATTGGACAAGCATGCAATATTACCTGATTGCGCAAAATTAACCGCATCAGTAGAGTTGGGATGTGACCGGTTGGCCAATACACTGAACTCAGCTCGTGATAATGATAGTGTCACGGTGTGACTAGTAGATGCAGGTGATGGTAATACAGAAGTCAGGCCAAGAGAGGGATGAGACCCCTCAAGGTCAGAGGATGACACTGCTTGATATGCCCATGCTGGTTTCCGTGAAGAGCCCAACAGTTCTCAACAGAATGGTTAGTACCCTGACAGTGGCTGTAGATGCGAGTATCACTATGTCCACGACCATGGCGACTGGGACTTCTATCACGGCCACCACCGCTATGAGAACTACCCGAATTTCCACCATACCCTCTGTTGGCACTAGGAGTATCATGACCTTTAGAGGACTGTGGAAAAATAGAAGGAAGCATCATAGCTGAATTTTCTTTCACAGTGGGCGTCACATGTGATTGTTCAGAAACCCGAAGTAAGTGGGCATAAATGTTACCCAAAGATGGGAGTCCTCCATCACCAGCAAGGATCTGATCCCGAATATTCTGAAGGCTCGGGTGCAAACTAGCAAGAAAAACGGAAGCAGAAAATTCCTCACGTTGTCGCTTGAGAACGTCAGGATCAGTAGTCAAGAGATGGTACTGATTCAACTCATCTAACAGGTTTTTGAAAGTACTGTGTTACCTAGACTCGCCTGTTCAGACCGAAGTGTAAGTGTCGACACGACACGACACGACACGACACGGACACCGACACTGGATCTGAGTCGGATCCTTCATGGCGTCTACCGGACACGGCTGATAGATGACGAAAACTCAAACAAAGATGTTTGGGTTGGTACTTGTGAAGGATTGCGAACTTTCTTTATGCTTTATTTGTTAAATAGGTTGCCATTAATGAGATCAGAAAACTTACTGGTACAACAATGGCGGTTTGCTTCAAAAATAGTGTCTTTCGAAGGTTAAAGAAGACTGAAGTGTACGCGCTTTGTTTGCACAAAATTTTGTAATGGCCGAGCGTGTTTTCACATTCTTAC